GTTAGTCTTATATTTCTTCTCAGGTTAAGAGTTTTCTACAGTAAAATCTACACTTTATAGTAACATGACAGGGCTGTCATCAATGTCCTAACTGACTGAAATGTTGCAATGGAATTTACAAAAAGAAGGATGAAAAGGTTTATTTTATAACGATTTTCCAATGTTGATGTGTGAAATGCTCAAAGTAATAAAGTTTAAATTTTGTAACAATACAGACTTTACTGTATAGTAAAAAATCATCTTATTTAAAAAAAAAATTATAATCGAAAAACTTTCAGACTGCAGTATATTGCATTTATCAAAACTGAAAGGAAAAAACTACATCCCATAAGCTTACTTAGTAGATAGATAATGATGCAAATAGATCTATGGATATTTTGTCAATTTATCTGTATGGATATTTTGTCAATTTATCTGTATGGATATTTTGTCAATTTCTTTGTATGGATATTTTGTCAATTTATCTGTATGGATATTTTGTCAATTTATCTGTATGGATATTTTGTCAATTTCTCTGTATGGATATTTTCATCCATTTGTTTAGATGGAATCTTATAAAGTAGCCCACATGGATTTAAAACCAATTAAAACTTCCTATTATTCAGCACATCACAATTCTAAGAACAAGATATTAAGATATAGTCATGTTTTTGGGGCTGACCTGAAGTTTAAAAAAGTTACTTTAACTTAAAATTGCTTATAAAACCAACAGCTGAAGAGCTACAATGCATGCAAGTAAAATTTCAATTATGTAGAAAAAAAGTCAGAGAACAGACACACATATGTTGGAATAGACATACGAATACTGCAACATGTGATAAGATGTCACAAATGTTCCATGCAATCAAGATTCTACTATAAATTATATAAGATATCAATAGTCTTTAAAGATATCAGAGTTTGGTACACTGCTGTGTTTTGTGTATTGGATGTTGAAGTAAAAATCTTTTATCATTTATCATCAAAGATTCTGACAGCCATTGTGTAAACATGGTAAGCTTCTTCATTATTTGTTTGATGGCAGATTTTGTTCATTTCTTTGCATTTAAAAATATGTATAAAAAAATTTTGAATATTAAAAAATTGTTCTGTATGCTAATTTTGAAGTTCAAAATGTATGCTAATCTATTTAGCTACTGATAAAAATAGTAAAATCCTTTGTTTGCTCAGGTTTATTTTTGTGAACTCTTGAAACAGCTGAGACTCAAGTGTATCAAGTTAATTGGTTTTTCCCCTAAAGTTTAGTTATTCGTAGATGTGTACTTTGTAAGTAAAGTAAAAAAATATATTGATAAATTAATCAATGTAACACAATAATGCTACACAACCTGTACGAACTGTGACGCCCGTATATGACACAGAAACCAGGCGTCAAAATCATATTTTTTCCGGGCGTCATTGCAGTGTTTAAGGAATGCATGTCCAGGCGTCAACCAGGCGTCAACCAGGCGGAAACCAAGCGTAACTGAGGCGGAAACCAGGCGTAAAATTAGGCGTAATATTTAAATGAGTACGCCTGGTCCAGAGAAAACCAGGCGTAATATGCAAATGAGTACGCCTGGTCAATAAATAAACCAGGCGTAATATCCTTACATAATACTACACTTATTTCAAATCAGTGTATTACCCTAGCTGTGTACTTTTGTGTATTTAATACAAACTTCTGTACTGTTGCTTTAATTTCTCATTGTTTGACATAAAACTGGAAATATCAACCATTGAAGAAGCTAATATATTAATAAATACATTTTAGACAGACACTGGCTCAAATAAGTTTAAAGTTTAAATAAGAATTATGACAATTAATTTTTCTTGAAATAAAACTTAAGCATTTTAATTAACTAAGTTTTTTATAAATTAATGTCCTTTAAAATATAATGATAATACTGCAAGTTAACTTCATGTAAAAGATTTTAATGTTATTATCCAAGGATAAAGGTTTTGGGATTGCAAAATTACTGTTAGAACTTAAAACTTAATAACTTAGATTATACTCACATAATTATTATTTACCATGTTTTACTTTCCATTTTTTTCACAATTTTTATTAATCAATTTGATTCCATATTTCCAATTTCAAATTCTTCCAAAAAGCACAAAACAAGCTAATTATCCCTGAACATATGAAGCTGCCATAAGTCCAACTCTTGCAAACTAAAACCAAAGAGCCAAATTTTTAAAAAAATTCCCATGATCCTTTAAACAAAGCATTATGGGTATTATGATTTACGCCATACCAACAGTTTTACGCCCGTAAGAAAATTTATGCCTTGCTTATTTCAATTTACGCCAGGTTTACCACTTTTTCTACGCCCGTAAGGACTACAAATTTACGTTTCCTGCTCCCTTACGCCTGGATCTAGACATGTAACTACCACTTACGCCTGGTTTACGCCTTATTTCCAGGCGTAATACGCCTTATAATTTCATACGGGTAAGACAACAACATCGTAGATTACTGCTAGGAAAATCTTTATTATGGTCTACATGTTTCGCCACTTATGGTGGCGTCTTCAGGACAATTTAAACATAGAAAACAAATACTGAAGTACATAAAATGCGGTGCATATGGGGTTACAAAGGTTAACAAGAAGTAATGTCACAATAATTGATTTGACAACGTTAAAATGAAAGTGAAAGTAAAAGTGTTTTACTTTAGCTAATTTCCACCCCTCAATGTTTTAAGGTCTCCCATTGGATGGAAAAAGATAGTTATTGTTTTTATCCTTAATTATTCCATCAGTTCATCTGTCTGTCCTGTCTTGTTAGCTCTCTCACTTGTACAATTCTTGCCAGATTTTAATGAAACTTATATCAAAGGTTTATATCAGCATTGTCTTGGACAAGTCCAAAAATCAGTGCTGATCTAATATTTTTAAAAGAGTTATGCCCCTTGGAAATATTAATTATATGGAAAATTGCATTGTTAGCCCTCTCATGTGTACAATTCTTGCCTGATTTTTATGAAACTGATATTATAGGTTTATATCAGCATTGTCTTGGACAAGTCCAAAAATCAGTGCTGATCTAATATTTTTAAAAGAGTTATGCCCCTTGGAAATATTAATTATATGGAAAATTGCATTGTTAGCCCTCTCATGTGTACAATTCTTGCCAGATTTTTATGAAACTGATATTATAGGTTTATATCAGCAATGTCTTGGACAATTTCGAAAATCAGTACTGATCAACAATTTTTAAAAGAGTCGTGCCCCATGGCAATATTAATTATATGGAAAATTGCAATGTTAGTGCTCTCATGTGTAGAATTCTTGCCAGATTTTTTATGAAACTTATATCAAAGGTTTATATCAGCAATGTCTTGGACAAGTTCAAAAATAAGTTTAGATCAACAATTTTAAAAGAGTTATGCCCCTAGGAAATATTAATTATATGGAAAATTGCATTGTAAGCTCTATCACATGTACAATTCTTCCCAGATTTTTATCAAATTTATATGAAAGGTTTATACATGTATCAGTATAAATGTCTTGGACAATTTCAGAAAATCATTGCCAATCAAAATTTTTTTTAATGGCAGTTATGCCCCTTAGAAATATTTATTATATCAGAAATTGCATTGCATTTGCTCTCAAGCCTTCATTTTTTTTAAGACATTTATACAAATTTTAAAGAACAAAAAATTTGCCCTTGGACAGATAAAATATGTGCAACCAGGGGGGGGGGGGGGGGGGGGGGGAACTCTATTCTTTTATTATGTTTTGTTGTAAGTGCACATCCTCCTTACATGCTAGACAGAAATGAAACTTTACACAGCTGTAGATTTGATTTTTGATTTTGGTGTTTTATATATAACGCCACTTTTAATCACCGCTTTTGGGCTATTTCGTGGCGGCCAGTTTTTATTGGTAGAGGAAGCCGGAGTGCCAGGAGAAAACCACCAACCTTCGATAGGAAGACTGACAATCCTAGTCAATTAAGATTGGAGTCGAGTGCACCTGCACGAGCGGGGTTCAAACTCACAACCTCAGTGTTGACTGGCTAGTGATTACAGTAGTAACTACTTAGACCACTCGGCCAACGAGGCCCCCACAGCTGTAGAGAACTACCCAAGGATTTTAGGCATCTACATGTTTAAGGGGAGATAATTGAATATACTTACTTCAATATTGCAATATGTCAGGTAATAGTCTGCCTGATATTCATATGATGAAGACATAATCTTTCAATCAGTTTAATTGAGGTCTGGAGCTGGCATGTCAGTAACTGCTAGTAGTCTGTTGTTATTTATGTATTATTGTCATGTTGTTTATTTTCTTTTGTTTCCTATTCTGACATCGGAGTCGGACTTCTCTTAAACTGAGTTTTACTGTGCGTACTGTTGTACGTTTGTTTTTTCTACATTGGCTAGAGGTATAGGGGGAGGGTTGAGATCTCAAAAAACATGTTTAACCCCGCCGCATTTTTGCGCCTGTCCCAAGTCAGGAGCCTCTGGCCTTTGTTAGTCTTGTATCATTTTTAATTTTAGTTTCTTGTGTATAATTTGGAGTTTAGTATGACGTCCATTATCTCTGAACTAGTATACATATTTGTTTAGGGGCCAGCTGAAGGATGCCTCCGGGTGCGGGAGTTTCTCGCTGCATTGAAGACCCATTGGTGGCCTTCGGCTGTTGTCTGCTCTATGGTCGGGGTTGTTGTCTCTTTGACACATTCCCCATTTCCATTCTCAATTTTATCTAGTAAGGGCTACTGCTCTTCAAAGGCTCGATTGATTGATGATCATTACACTGTTGTAGAACACTACATGAGAATATGCATAAAGGAATATAATCTTGGTCCAAGATGTAACAGGGGAGATAATTGAATTATGCATTGATTTTTTACACAAAGCTCATTTGCTCTTTAAAAAAGCTGATTTCCACCCTAAACTTTCTTGTTTATAAGCTGACGATTATAGTGTGGCTTTCCATATTTAAAATGCTCATGGCAGGCTTAATGTGTGTGCACATTATTATCATATCTTTGTTGTTTTATTTCAGACTGTTATTAGCCAATGCTGTCAAGACAGGTCGTCTTACTATGACACTACGTAGAAGGAAGAAAAGACCAGCTCCTCCACTACCTACAACCACCACTCCACAAGAAATGCATTTCTCAGAATCTAGAACAGCTTCCTCAGAAATGTCTAGTCAAATGATGACTACCTCATCTCACATGTCTCACATGCACTCTAGTTACTCAAGTCACATGACACATAAACAGTCAAATATCGGTCATGTGACATCTCACATACACTCAAGTCAAAGTACCTCAAATCATACGTCTCATATGATATCTCAGTATGGTAACAATATATCTCAAACGATGTCTCAAGTGTCTAATCATGCTTCTCATACAAATATTGGTTTAATGAATGGGTCATATCATCAGAATGCATCTATTAATCAGGTCAAAGTTGAAGAGGATCATTTGTATGAACCTGTTGAAATCACCAATGGTGTATATAGACAGAAAAAATTAAGTCAATCTCTAAATAGTTTTTTGAATGTTGAGTCCGAAAATAATAATAATAATGATGGAAGTTCTTGCACATTGAATTCATTGATGTATAATTCTGAATATAGTTCCAATGACGATGTGTTTGCAGATGCCTCGTCAAACCGTCAATGTGACAATGACCCGCCTTATACTGTAACTGTCATAAAAGCTGTGACAGACAAAAAGAAGCCCTCTTATGTTAATTTGGATATTGATAAACAACGGACTTTAAGTGCTTCAGCCATTGAAGATGATCTTCAGTGGAATTCTGTGCCTATTGATTTTCCTAAGGAAGATGATAGTTACATCACCACGGCAGAAATAGCTAGAAGGAAACATGACCGAGGCCTCAAACAGATGAATTTGAATAAGACATTAAATTCAGATAGCAGTATTCATAAATCTGACCCAGATATTGTAAATAACCAAAGAAAACATTTCAGAAAGAATAGAAAAAGTCCAAGATATACAGCAAATAGGGACTGCAGTGACTTATCATCTAGTACCGGTAGTTCATCATCAGCTAAAATAGCCAACCAAAGGAAAAAGGTACCTATGTTTAGTTTGTAATTCTGTGTTGCCACTTTGTGGTTTAAGCTCATTTCTGATTCGTATAATTAAGCAAACAACAATTGATCTAAATGCTAAAGACAAATTCTTAGTAATTTTTTGTGTGGTTGTTAATAAGAAGATGAGTTTATAGTTTGAGGAAGTGACTAACAATGTCAAAATGCTCAGTAATATCTTTAACTCGGTTTCCTTTTCCCCTTTTATTTCCTATATTTTTATGCTGTTATATAACTCAGATTAATTTATAACATTGATTGGTTGATTGATGGTTGAGTAGCATTCAGAAGCAAGTAATACATGCATATTCATGACAAAAACATGTTAAATGAGTTTCGAATTAACCCTTCTTTACATTAGATGGAAAACAAATAAACCCTGCTTTTTCCTATAGACCCAGATACTAAGTTGGATATTTAATGCACTAGCTCACAATGTAACTTTGCAGGAAGACATACTATCCTTCACAGACCAATTTCTCCAACTAACAACAGCTAAGTATTTTGCTCTTCTTCTAGAAAATCAAGTTTGTTCATCTTTTGTTTTGAAATAATTGACTGAATGAAAATGTCTAGTAATTATTATCAAACAACAACAACTTTAATTGGTAGGATTAGGTTCATACCAGTTACATTATCGTTGTCCTTCCGTATTTCTATTTTTCTGGTTACTCCATAAGCTATAGATATAATGACAGTTTTGACGGGAAGTAATTTCCCCATTATACAATATAATTCATCAATTTAATCAAAATAGGACACTTATTGTTGTTAAGGAAATTTTTATGAAGTACAAAGGTCTGTTACATAAGGGAAAACAGTTTCTAAAGATATACACATAAAAATCACGATGGATTACGTGGATACAACAGTGACTGAGGATAACAGTTTTTCCTCTATTTTGAAAGGGGTAAGTTGTTTTGGGGGGAAGTTTGGTACATTTATGTGAAGAGGAATAAGGGGTGAGACTGCAAACTGGGTGCTACAAAGAAATAGATGTAAGACAAGAGATGGTTAAGAAGTTTTCGTTAAAGGGAAGTGAACTGCAAAAATGGCTTGGAAAATGTTACACTTGAAATATTTAAGCTGCAGGATACATATTGTATTTGGTGCACTTTTTCATTTTAATTTGGTGCACCTTTTCATTTTATTTGGTGCACTTTTCATTTGATTTGGTGCACTTTTTCATGGAGAAAATTTTCAATTCAGCAACATTCCTTCACAGGAGTTGGCTGCTTAAGAAATTAGGAAACAATAGAATGTATTAAATAAATCACACTTCATTATGAAAGTTATTGATAATATTTAATATTCACTTCCCTGTTTAAATCTATTTTCCCTTCGTAATTAGTACAATAAAGTGGAATAAGCCCTGAGCTAGAAATATGACTATGAATTGTCGCAGCTTATTTTTTTATCAAATTGCTCTGTTGAGTTTAAAACCATGCTGTATGCAGTATATTGGAATTGTGTCTCTCAAACTCAGGTATAGATTAATATATATATGTATGATATGGAGAACGAATGAGTAAATACAAAATTAAAATCTTAATTGCACTTGAGAGCAATTTAAATCAGTATTGGTTGATCAGTTTTAATATAAAAGCCCAGTCTGTTGTATACATATTTCTTCAAAAGGATATAAAATGTTATTTTTGCTTTTCTAAGAATTCTTTTTTCAGGAAGGAAACTAGCAATGGTTATGTATAAATTACTCCCAATGTACTAGCCTTTGGACTCTGAGCATTTTTGATAAAGGACATATCAGAGAAGATTCTTTTTTGCAGAAAATTTTGTTTGTTTGGTTTTTATGCCCCCGCCGTAGCGGAGGGGGCATTAAGTTTTACCCTTGTCCGTCTGTACGTACGTACATCCCAAAGTTGGTTTCCGTTCTCTAATTTTAGTTTGCCTCAACCAAATGTTATGAAACTTATACACAATGCTTATTACCACAAAACACAGATCAAGATTGAGTTTTGGTGGCGTCATTTGTACCTTTCTAGAGTTATGTCCCTTTACAAATGGAAAAATTGCTGAATTTTTCGTTTCCGTTCTCTGGTTTTAGTTTGCCTCAACCAAATGTTATGAAACATATACACAATGCTTATTACCACAAAATACAGATCAAGTTTGAATTTTGGTGGCATCACTTTTACCGTTCTAGAGTTATGCCCCTTTACAAACGGAAAAATTGCTGAATTTTTCGTTTCAGTTCTCTGGTTTTAGTTTGCCTCAACCAAATGTTCTGAAACATAAACACAATGCTTATTACCACAAAATACAGATCAAGTTTGAATTTTGGTGGCGTCACTTTTACCGTTCTAGAGTTATGCCCTTTAGAAATGGAAAAATTGCTGAATTTTTGTTTTCGTTCTCTAACTTTAGTTTGCCTCAACCAAATGTTATGAAACTTATACACAATACTTATTACCACAAAACTCAGATTAAGTACAAATTTGGGTAGCGTCACTTTTACCCTTCTAGAGTTATGTCCCTTTATAACGTTATATGCAAGCGGGGGCATCATCTGTGTCCTATGGACACATCCCCCATTTAGTTTTTTATTGAAACCCTTTAAAAAAAAATCTAACAATAAATTTGAACAAACACGAATAATTCCATTTTTCTGAAATAAAATTAAGAATGGTAACGGGGAATGTGTCAAAGAGACAATAGTTGACTTTCGAACAGATGTAAACAATTGGGTGATTTGTAACAATATTATTTATTCAGTATATATTATTTTTTCAGAGAGTTGTGACAAAAATGCATCTGATTAAAGATGAAACAGGATTAGGAATACATATTGCTGGAGGAAAAGGGTCGAGGAAGGGAGATTTAGGAATATTTGTAGCAGAGGTTACAACAGGTGGAGCTGCTGATAGGTAATGTTCAATCAGATGAATTTTATACAAGATTGTTGTATGGAAATAGAAACTGATATCTTGTCATAACATTTGGACATTTAGATGAAAGATTTGTCACTGCAATGAAAGGTTCATTAAATCTTTTATAATGCCAAAAAGATGTAGTTGGCTGTCTACTCTTTTGCCATGTAGTTATATTATAAGGAGAAAGACAAGAGGAGTTCATAGTCCTGGCTCTGACAGCAACAAAATTTATATCTGATGAAGAAGTCTGTATGGTATGAATATGAATAAAATGTTAATTGGGGTATACATGTACATCATATGAGACAGCAACTCAACAACACAAAAAAAAACCATCTAGAGGTCAACTTAGGTTGAGAACAAATATCCTTATACAATATGTTATACCTCAATCTCTCCAAGTTAAGAAGTTTTTACTAAAAGGGATGGTACATTTATAGGCTTACTTCGACTTGCAAAGTTAATAATATATTACTGTATAATTACAATATCTTAAACTTCTGAGAAAAAGCATACAGAAATGTTTCAGCAAAATTAACATAGAACACATGTGTTGACTTTGTCACACTTTTCTCAGATACTACTGAACAACATGACTTTATAAAATCATTGACTATGGCAGCACCAAACCATAAAAGAGGCTAGTACATTTTTTATAAACTGTGGTATTTCTAAATTTGTATGTTTTACTTCGCAGATACAACAACACTTACAATGTTCAAATTTTGGGGCCAATAATGGGCTATAATTTATACCTATTGGATTTTTGTCTGGATTTCAGCAACATCAAAAAAGACTAATTTGTTGAACATTGTTGGAAAATGAACATAAAATAGAGTTGTCGCATTGTCACTCATACCACATCTTCTTGTATCTATATAAAATACTAGTGCAGACAAAAACATTTTTGCCATTGGGAATATATTTCTGAAATACACTTCCTGATGTGTAAATATTACATATTTTTTTTATCTAATGCATTCAGTAAAGTACATATTATTTAATTTCACTGAGAAATCAAGGTTTTTAACCAGCTAACAACAAAACAAAGCCTCATATTCTTTCAAAGAGATTTAAAACACTTAGTTTAATTGTTTCCTACCACTAAACAGGTCTGAATGTCAATAAATCAAGGTCAAATCACTGATACGTATAGGTTAAGTACTTTATCATATGAATAGAAAGATGTGGGGTCAGTGAGATGGAAATCCAAAAACCACATGACATCTATAGGTCAGCATAGGGGATTCAGAAAGGAGTAGGGGCATTAAGGCCCGGTTTTGGCCCAAGAAAATAAAACACAACACAACTTTTTCAAATTGGCACATAATGTTTGGAAATGCATAGCGTCAAGAAATATAAAGGAAAAACTTAATATTTTTTTCTGATGACGTCACAATTACGTCATAATATGTAGCATTTTCACGATAGCAATGAAAAATACAGAATTTATGCAGTTTTCCATCGATATTTCCATTGTGGAAACATCGTGCGCAGCCAAGAAACAACAAAATAATTTAAGAGAAGCTTTATCATAACTATTGACATAATCTCACCAAACATAAAGTTGTTTCTTGGGTGCGCACATACTTTGCCAATCGAAAATATACTTAAAATTTGATGAAAAACAAGGAAAATCAAGCAATTTTACAAAATATCCAAATTTCGTCATGGTTTGTTGCCATGGTATTTCGTTAAATGTGAGATTTGTTTTTATTTTCTGAATACCTTGTACCTTAGTCTAGTTAGGACAAATTTAAGAAAATGTATGATAACTTTAAAATTTGCAGTAATATTTGGGCCTAATAAGGGCCTTATTGCCTCTACTCCTTTATCAGAGGGTGTCATCAATACGAAATTTCAAAACGTTTCAAAAAATTTCAATTGAATTTAAAGTCATGAAGGAAGTTACAGAGCAAATTGTTACACATGATTTACAAAATTTGTTCCAATTAAATTTTTCTTAGATGTCTCGGAGTGAAAGTGTCAACAATCACATCAATATTTAATTTTAAATTATAATGCACCTGCATCAGTGTTATTATATAATACATTGAGTCAATCCTGACACATTGTTGCACTGATCAATATTTTCAGTAACCAAAGCTCAATATTTAAACTCTCATATTCCTAACTGGTTACACACAACAGACAAAGACAATCTTGAATGGCAACAATGTTTTTACTTGAATAGTGAAACATGTTGCATTTACATTTCTTAAAGGGGCTGTCAAATTCATGTTCACCAATTTGACCCACATTACCATATTCAATTCATAATCTACAAAAATGTATATGTTAATTCTAAAAAATCTAAAATAAACAATTCTGATGCATGAACTTGATAATATGTATCAGCATTTCTTGTGCATTTTAGTCTAGATACCATCTAATTAACCATCAAGGTGACCTCTGAAGACTGCTTGCGGTCATATAACCTGATATAAATATAAATAGATATAAATAGAAAACGAACACGTGCAATTGGATTTTTCTAGGTCTGTTTGATATCATATTATAGGTTAAACACATATGTTAATCATCGTTTTTACCTGTATAAGAATGAGTATTTGTTGATTGAATCAGTCAACCAACTGGCTTACTCTTGTTTCACTTTCAACATTGACTTTCTTTTCCTTTAATAGCTGAACACGCCTAGTTTATGTGTAACCCTTAAATAGAAGGTCACATGAATACGGATTCAAAGAGGTCGAGTTATTCACTTGCAAGTGAATAATTCATCAGTGATGTTTCTTAGCTTATTTTGACAAAATTGAACCAAACTGGCTGCTAAAAGCGAATTATTATTTCACTATTTCACTTTCATTAATGATTGAACAAAAAAAAATCAGATTTAATTTTTTTAGCTCAACTGGCCCTTTTTCATCACTTTGCGTCCGTCGTCGTTGTCGTCTTTTTACATTGAGAACTTCTTCTAGAGAACCACTGAATGGAATGAAACCAAACATGGCATAAATGTTCCTTATGAGGTGCTGACAAAGTGTTGTTACTTTGTAGCAGATCCATCATCCAAGATGGCCGCCAGAGGGGGACTTCCTTTAACATAGGACCCTATGGACAATACATACAAATGTCTTCTTTTAGAGAACCACTGAATGGAATGAAACCAAACTTGGCATGAATGTTCCTTATGAGGTGCTGACCAAGTGTTGTTACTTTGAAGCCAATCAATCATCCAAGATGGCTGCCAGCAGGGAACTTAGTTTAACAAAGGACCCTATGTGAAATACATACAAAAGTCTTCTTTTGAAGAACCACTGAATGGAATGAAACCAAATATGGCATGAATGTTCCCTATGAGGTGCTAACCAAGTGTTGTTACTTTGTAGCAAATCCATCAACCAAGATGGCTGCCAACGGGGACTTAGTTTAACAAAGGACCCTATGGGAAGTATATACAAATGTCTTCTTCTAGAAAACCGCTTAAAGAATTGAAACCAAACATGGTATGAATGTTTCTTTTGAGGTGCTGACCAAGTGTTGTTACTTTGTAGCTGATCTGCCATTGTCCTTATAAAGTCATTTTCTACAATTTCAATGAATTTATAGGTAATTTCTGTAAAGTTTACAAAAGTCTTCTGCTTTTGATTAAATTACAGGGCCAATATTAAACCAAATTTGGCCTCAATCATTATTAGGGTATCTGTTATGATTTTAATCTATTTTTAGATGATTTCCAAAACCAAAGTAGAATCAGGTGAGCGACACAGGCTTTTGGGAGCCTCTAGTTTTATATCTCATAGCTAATGCCCTTTAATGCTTTCAGCTGCTGACTGGCAAAGTTTCTTTTTAATTTTGTCAGAAATGCAATCACCTATCTACTATTAATCAAAATGTTTAATTGCACTCCATGTGTGGCACCATTTTTGCCAACCTCAATGGGGGAGGGGGTCATGTGCGCCAGGTGACACCCTTCCATCAGCCTCTGGTTTTCAAGTAAATTAATTTAAACTTTTAAAATGTAAAATGTATTATGAAAAATTTATCGTTTTATTTATTTGCTATCATGAGGGGATATATAGATTTACTGGTGTTACATTTATTGCTTTCAAGTCACCCTATGAATATCTAACATACAGAATAAGGCACAATAGTGAATGTTTTTATAACATGTACACATATAAAGTTAGATCTGAATCTTTATGCCTAGATTTAATCTAAACTTAAATCTAATATGATATACATTATTACGACTATATCCTTAGGTATAGAAATTCATAAAGTAAAAAAATATTCATTGTTCTAATAAAATAAGAACAAGAGCTAACTTATCAATAAAAAGTCAAATGTATGTTTTTTCAATCTTTTTATTCATTTTATTTAACAGAGATGGAAGACTTAAACGTGGAGATGAATTGTTGATGATAAATGGGAAAAGCTTGATTGGTTTAACACACCAGGAGGCTGTAGAAGTAATGAGACAGGCCCCTAAACTAGTGCAGATTGTTGTAGCTTCCAAAGTATGTACAGTACATTTATGGATTAGCAGAAATTGTTTTATGTTTTTAATTAGCATTCCCCTGTCCTTTTCAGATGCTGTTGGCAGGAATTGGAAATAATTATGGCTGACCCCAGACATGATATTTAGTCCTTATACATTTAGTCAAGTCCAAAAACTTTTCTTAGTTAACAAAAATACTCATTATTTAGCATACCTGGCCATAAGTCTTTTCTAATCAGTGGGTATGTAGTACATCCACTATTATCTGGCCTTTGTCTTCAGTTATAAACTTTTGATAAATCTTCTCTAGATCAGCTGTGCCAATTGAACTTTAACTTGGTTACAGTTGTTAATGCCAACAGCCATGAAATACTGCTGCTATTATTACAAAAAATAAAGAAAATGGGCAAAACTCATTAAAATCTTTTGAGAATAATGTTCCATGACTCCAATTGCTGTCAAACATGGCTGCCCCTGTTACTAATAATAAAATGGTCAATAAAAAATTCTGAATAATCTTGCAAAATGCTAATTTGTACCAAACTTTGGCTAAATGATACCTTCATTATATGCTTTTAGAATTGTGACTGATGAACCGACTGCTTTCAACTGTGGTCACCACTTTTATCAATAGTAGAACATTGGACAAAAACTTAAATTAAAAAATCTTAAAAATCCTATTATGGGCAAATTACAAGCAAACCTTGTTTAAATAAAACATCAAATAAGATTGCTTTTGTTATTATGAATGAAAAATTTGACAAAAAATTTTAATATATGATACTGAGAATTATGGTTGATAATCCCAGTTGCTATCTAATGTGACTGCTGCCATTATTTAAACAAGGAAATGAAAAATAATTATGTAAAGTGCTATTTTCAATAGTTAATACCGTTATCATACCCCTCAAGAATATTAATACTCAGTTGTCATTAAGTCTACTGCTTTCAACTCGGGCCACCACTGTTACTAAAAGTAGATTGGACAAAAAAATTAATTAGAAAATCTAAAAAATCCTGTTATGGGCAAATAAATACTGTACATAGAATATGATTGCTATTGTTTCTATTTATATAAATGAAAAATTTTGACAAAAATTAAATATAAAATACTGAGAAATATGGTTGATAATCCCAGTTGCTATCTAATGTGACTGCTGTCATTATTTAAACAAATAAAAGGAAATAAAAAATAGAATAATAATTTTGTAAAGTGCTATTTTTGATAGATAATACCTTTATCATACCCCTCAGGAATATTATCAATGACTCAGTTGTCATTAAATATGGTGCCTATGACAATGAACATTTGTCTTAGAGTAGGGGGTACAAGTTTGGCATTTGTCCTCATGTTATTTGTTTCATACCAGTACATACATATTATGTTTTATAAAATTTATCAAACCCGAAAACAATAGCTTGCATATCAGAATCATATCATAAACTTGGTTTTTCTATAGATCAAAAGAAGCGGCACCTTACCGTCCATGTCCAGTGGCTCACAAAGCATAGAAGATTGCAAACCTGCCACCAGAAGTGCTGATATGACTCAACAAATCCCAGATCTGACAGCAGAAACTCCACATGGTACAGTCATGAAGTGGGAAGAATTATTCGAGGTAACTTTATTTATCACGTTTAATATGGTTTAATATTTTAGCATTTACAATAAATTAGTAAATTTTTACTGAAAGTTTTGACTGTCATTACTGCATTTATAAGTGCACATTGTAGGTTTTATAAAAACCCAATGGATTCTATTAATCTACCTAGATGAAAACCAACTTTGTGTGATGTATCAATGCAATGACTAAAGTCAAATATACACAAACATTAAAAAATTCCATACAAAGAGTTTACCATACATAAAATGTAGAAAAAAAGTACTTGTGCATACATAATAGAGAGCTATGTAATAGACCACTTTCAAGTTCATTGCATTTCCGTCAATAAATTTGGTTTTAGTGAACATCATTCATGGGGGCATCATCACTTCCTTTCCATGTTGAGCGAGCGGTTGATATAATATGATGCTATTTTGTATGAATTATTCTCCTAAATAAATTCTTATAATTGATAATCAGCACTGCCGTCATTAGGAAATTGTGATTAAGTACCTACGGAACAAACATTATTTCTAGTTTATCCTTCATAATGAGGATCACGAAGACACTTGATGAACTTTAAGAGTGCAGGGATAAAGGCAATCCCCTCTATCTGGTAAATGACGTCATAAAGGCGCACATAATTGACGAACTTTTCTGGTGAAGGACATAACTTGAAAGTGGTTTATTCACATTCCATTTTATCCTGCAGAAGTTAAGAGTGCATTTGTTTCTAACCCGAAATTTTGTCATCGATGACTATCCTTTAGTAAACGATAAGCTGCTAGAAACAAATACATTGTTCATTGAACTTTATCGACCCCACGTAGTGAGACAGAAATAGATTACATACACGCACTGTAAACAAACAGGTAAAAGTGCGGGGAATGAATGACCAGGACTTTGCGAAAACAACACATGCTCGTAATTATTTAAATGACGGATGCAGAAACAAATGTATCGTTTACACGTCTCAACGATAAATGATCAACGACTACGCGACTATTTTGCGCGTACATCGTTTCTGTGAACGATGTCAACGTTGACCAAAAAATGTAAGAAACAAATGGATTAAACGACTACGCACGTAATCATTTACATCGTTTAGGTTAGAAACAAATGCGCTCTTAATTAAGATGGAATAATGAAGTATTTCTACAACTTCTGTACAAATGACTTTTTCTTTGATTTTGATTATTTAACACCTTCAGGAAATCTTCGCAGACGAAAGTCTTGTAGGCAGTGTTGTTAGTAAAATAGAGGATTTAGTGAGTTACATTTGTATAAATGGGTTTAATTAATTCTTACTTCAACAATATATTTCTTCTTATGCTACTAACCATCTCAAACTCTTTTGAAGAGGAAGATTTTTTTATGACTAATTTACTTGGTTTATTTGTATATAAAACATAAAAAGTTTCTTCTTTTCTATTTAATCAATATTTTCAATTCTACTAACACTTTAAATCGTTTTAGGTTTTAAAGTAGTTTTTTCCAGAAAACTGTTAAAAAACAAAATTTTCTGTCATTTTAATGCGACTTATTCTTTCCTTCTTAAAATCTTCAGAGATCAATAGACAATTGTAACATAAATCTATTTGTTCGAAATGTGTGTGGCTTTTAATCAGTCTGAGTCTATAATAACTTTAGATGCCATCAATTGCTTGCTTGATTTCTAAAAGCTTGTCAGTGATCTATCAAACTATGTCTTAACAACAGCTGAATAAGATTTTATACAAAGAACAGCTAAAAGAATGAAAATTTGTATGATTAATAGAAGTTTTTACTGAAATCTGTATGTAAGATTCTTCTACTGCTTTCTAATACAAATGTAAGAAAAGCATTCTTATTATTGTAACTTGATCAAATTCAGACTGTTCTAATTAAGTTTTTTCTTGATGTGAATATAGGGAATATCAGAAATGCTGAACATTCATTATTTTGATAAAATTTTTGTAAAATCAAGACCAGCAATAAATACTTAAATGTAAAGAAAACAAAATTACAGAGAGTAGAAACAAATGCAAACTTAATTAATTGGAAGGAGAATTGTTTTTTTTTAGCAAGTTGCTAGCACACTTTTAGCGATTATAGTAGCTACTATTTTGATAAAAATTTTAAGAATGCTTGAAAGCTGTCAAGATAAAATATATATAATAAAATTTAACATAGAAAAGCTGAAATGTTGATATAAATCACTTGTTTTAATAATTCTTATTTAATAGCATTTTGCGTGCCTGGTCATCTCATTAATTATGCAACAGTTTTGTTTTCTGAAATGAAAACCGTAGCTACTATCCATTCAAAACATTTTTCTTTGTATTCAATCATCTTGAAATGATTAACATTGATGGATTTTTATAAAGTGTAAATGTTAAAATTGGATATCAATGATAAGATAGTGAAAGAATAACCAATTTCAATGACTTTTTAGAAATTCTCTAGACCATCTGACCAATCTGAGGACAATTTAACGGAGAGTGCTATCAGAGAGCAGACACTGAAGGCAAAAACTTACGACCCACCACAAACCATCACAATTAACAAAGGGGCCAGAGGAAAAGGTCTGGGATTTACTATTGTTGGCGGGAGTGACTCAGAGAAAGGAAATCTAGGGATATATGTCAGGAGAATATTACCAAGAGGTCTCATAGCAGAAGATGGCAATATGAAAGAGGGTAAAATGTCAAACTTTTTCTGTGGATTTAATTGTATTTTTTATGAATTTGTAAATCTTGATAGTCATGTGAGGGAGTTAAGAATTCGTATTAAAGTCTTACAGATCAATGGGGATGATTATACCCCTACTCCATTGTGTTTTGCTCAGGGCAAGTAAAAAAAACATCATGAAGTTAAAAATAAAGAGCAACTTCAAGTGACATTTTTATTGCCAAAATATAGATTTGATAAAGTGACAAGGTTGTTATTTTTTATTAAGAAAAATTTTATAGTTCCCTTCAAAATAAAAGGTATTTTATTTCAAAATAAAATATGACAGTACAGCATCATTGGTAAATAATAATAAAAAAAAAAAGAACAATACATTTATGCACTACATGTGCTTTAATATAAGATTGCTTTATTTTTTCAGGTGATGAAATTTTGGAAGTGAATGGTTTCAAAGTAACAGGTTTAACACACAAAGAAGCACTAGCTAAATTCAGAAGGTTACAACGGGGTCCTGTGTCCTTTACATTCCGAAGACGAGTCAGGTCTAGGTCAAACAGGTAATTACCTTGAAGAGGGTGGTGTTTATTATGACTGATTGATTGTTGGTTGCTTAATGTCCAGTGGCAAACATTTCATGCATGATCAGGACTATGTGTGCATTATGAAATTTTTTTTCAAGCAGTATCATCATACATTTATGTAGTTTATTTAAATAAACTCAAAGACTATAATACCATCATATATGTACTTGTATTAATTTGCATATAAACATTTATTGAGTGAAATGTCAGGCTTATATAAAATCTAATTATATTTTATAAATCTTATCACAAGAGCCTATTCGTGATGTTTGGTCATGTATGTTTGAATGAGAAGTAAATTCCTTCCAACAAAACTCAAATCAAATGAATAAGCAAATTAAACTTGTTTTTCAAACTGTTGCGTAAAATTATGATAAAGTGACATTTTTTTTAATCTAAACTGAAATGTACATAATAAAAAACATACAAAATTATTATGACTGGAATAAATGGAAGGTATTGCATGAATCATAACAACAGATGTTCCAGATCTATATACAATCAATATATAAATACTGTATGATATCAGTATGCATTATACCCCAGTATTGTCAGCCTTAAGTGTAATCCTCTAATCAACAATAGTAAATGATATTGTGTTATTTCGGTATTGGATGGAATTTATATTATATTTAATAAATGTATAAGTTTATTGCCATTACTTGATAGTTATCATCCAAGGTCATGGTCATTTGTTGTTGAGGAATGTTTAAATTGTCACAGCTTAAAATGGAACAATTTGAATGTTGAAATCTAGCTCAAATATAAGTTTTAATAGTCTGTATCTCTCCATTAGTGTGATATAAGGTTAAAGTTTTGGATTAAGGTAGATTGAAATGAACATGGAAAGGCAGTAATCAGTAGGGCATGGTGTCCTGAAGACATGTTTGTCCATCCCTCCATCTGTCCATCAGTCCGTCAGTCATTTTCCTTTGCAGAGGCTAACTCAAATACTTCATATCTACTTGCAACTTTACTTGGATGAATATTATTGTCACATATAACGTGGGGAAGATTGCTATTAATGTTGAGGTCATAATGGCAAGGTCAAAGTTACTAAAAGATTTATTGAAAATTATTGTCAAAAAACGTTTAAGAATACTAAATCACTTATTGCATATACCATTGCAATCTTACTTGGTTTAGTCACCAATAGATAGAGGAAAATCTCTGTTGATTATTAGGTCACTTGGTTTAGTCACATATTGATATAGGAAAATCTCTGTTGATTATTAGGTCACTTGGTTTAGTCACATATAGATAGAGGAAAATCTCTGTTGATTATTAGGTCACTTGGTTTAGTCACATATTGATAGAGGAAAATCTCTGTTGATTATTAGGTCACTTGGTTTAGTCACATATTGATAGAGGAAAATCTCTGTTGATTATTAGGTCACTTGGTTTAGTCACATATAAATAGAGGAAAATCTCTGTTGATTATTAGGTCACTTGGTTTAGTCACATATTGATAGAGGAAAATCTCTGTTGATTATTAGGTCACTTGGTTTAGTCACATATTGATAGAGGAAAATCTCTGTTGATTATTATGTCACTTGGTTTAGTCACATATAGATAGAGGAAAATCTCTGTTGATTATTAGGTCACTTGGTTTAGTCACATATTGATAGAGGAAAATTTCTGTTGATTATTAGGTCACTTGGTTTAGTCACATATAGATAGAGGAAAATCTCTGTTGATTATTAGGTCACTTGGTTTAGTCACATATTGATAGAGGAAAATCTCTGTTGATTATTAGGTCACTTGGTTTAGTCACATATTGATAGAGGAAAATCTCTGTTGATTATTAGGTCACTTGGTTTAGTCACATATAGATAGAGGAAAATCTCTGTTGATTATTAGGTCACTTGGTTTAGTCACATATTGATAGAGGAAAATCTCTGTTGATTATTAGGTCACTTGGTTTAGTCACATATTGATAGAGGAAAATCTCTGTTGATTATTAGGTCACTTGGTTTAGTCACATATTGATAGAGGAAAATCTCTGTTGATTATTAGGTCACTTGGTTTAGTCACATATTGATAGAGGAAAATCTCTGTTGATTATTAGGTCACTTGGTTTAGTCACATATAGATAGAGGAAAATCTCTGTTGATTATTAGGTCACTTGGTTTAGTCACATATTGATAGAGGAAAATCTCTGTTGATTATTAGGTCACTTGGTTTAGTCACATATTGATAGAGGAAAATCTCTGTTGATTATTAGGTCACTTGGTTTAGTCACATATAGATAGAGGAAAATCTCTGTTGATTATTAGGTCACTTGGTTTAGTCACATATAGATAGAGGAAAATCTCTGTTGATTATTAGGTCACTTGGTTTAGTCACATATAGATAGAGGAAAATCTCTGTTGATTATTAGGTCACTTGGTTTAGTCACATATTGATATAGGAAAATCTCTGTTGATTATTAGGTCACTTGGTTTAGTCACATATAGATAGAGGAAAATCTCTGTTGATTATTAGGTCACTTGGTTTAGTCACCAATAGATAGAGGAAAATCTCTGTTGATTATTAGGTCACTTGGTTTAGTCACATATTGATAGAGGAAAATCTCTGTTGATTATTAGGTCACTTGGTTTAGTCACATATTGATAGAGGAAAATCTCTGTTGATTATTAGGTCACTTGGTTTAGTCACATATAAATAGAGGAAAATCTCTGTTGATTATTAGGTCACTTGGTTTAGTCACATATTGATAGAGGAAAATCTCTGTTGATTATTAGGTCACTTGGTTTAGTCACATATTGATAGAGGAAAATCTCTGTTGATTATTAGGTCACTTGGTTTAGTCACATATAGATAGAGGAAAATCTCTGTTGATTATTAGGTCACTTGGTTTAGTCACATATTGATAGAGGAAAATCTCTGTTGATTATTATGTCACTTGGTTTAGTCACATATAGATAGAGGAAAATCTCTGTTGATTATTAGGTCACTTGGTTTAGTCACATATTGATAGAGGAAAATCTCTGTTGATTATTAGGTCACTTGGTTTAGTCACATATTGATAGAGGAAAATCTCTGTTGATTATTAGGTCACTTGGTTTAGTCACATATTGATAGAGGAAAATCTCTGTTGATTATTAGGTCACTTGGTTTAGTCACATATTGATAGAGGAAAATCTCTGTTGATTATTAGGTCACTTGGTTTAGTCACATATTGATAGAGGAAAATCTCTGTTGATTATTAGGTCACTTGGTTTAGTCACATATAGATAGAGGAAAATCTCTGTTGATTATTAGGTCACTTGGTTTAGTCACATATTGATAGAGGAAAATCTCTGTTGATTATTAGGTCACTTGGTTTAGTCACATATTGATAGAGGAAAATCTCTGTTGATTATTAGGTCACTTGGTTTAGTCACATATTGATAGAGGAAAATCTCTGTTGATTATTAGGTCACTTGGTTTAGTCACATATTGATAGAGGAAAATCTCTGTTGATTATTAGGTCACTTGGTTTAGTCACATATAGATAGAGGAAAATCTCTGTTGATTATTAGGTCACTTGGTTTAGTCACATATTGATAGAGGAAAATCTCTGTTGATTATTAGGTCACTTGGTTTAGTCACATATAGATAGAGGAAAATCTCTGTTGATTATTAGGTCACTTGGTTTAGTCACATATTGATAGAGGAAAATCTCTGTTGATTATTAGGTCACTTGGTTTAGTCACATATAGATAGAGGAAAATCTCTGTTGATTATTAGGTCACTTGGTTTAGTCACATATTGATAGAGGAAAATCTCTGTTGATTATTAGGTCACTTGGTTTAGTCACATATAGATAGAGGAAAATCTCTGTTGATTATTAGGTTACTAATGGTTTAGTCACATATAGATAGAGGAAAATCTCTGTTGATTATTAGGTCACTTGGTTTAGTCACATATTGATAGAGGAAAATCTCTGTTGATTATTAGGTCACTTGGTTTAGTCACATATTGATAGAGGAAAATCTCTGTTGATTATTAGGTCACTTGGTTTAGTCACATATTGATAGAGGAAAATCTCTGTTGATTATTAGGTCACTTGGTTTAGTCACCAATAGATAGAGGAAAATCTCTGTTGATTATTAAGTCACTTGGTTTAGTCACCAATAGATAGAGGAAAATCTCTGTTGATTATTAGGTCACTTGGTTTAGTCACATATTGATAGAGGAAAATCTCTGTTGATTATTAGGTCACTTGGTTTAGTCACATATTGATAGAGGAAAATCTCTGTTGATTATTAGGTCACTTGGTTTAGTCACATATTGATAGAGGAAAATCTCTGTTGATTATTAGGTCACTTGGTTTAGTCACATATTGATAGAGGAAAATCTCTGTTGATTATTAGGTCACTTGGTTTAGTCACATATTGATAGAGGAAAATCTCTGTTGATTATTAGGTCACTTGGTTTAGTCACATATTGATAGAGGAAAATCTCTGTTGATTATTAGGTCACTTGGTTTAGTCACATATTGATAGAGGAAAATCTCTGTTGATTATTAGGTCACTTGGTTTAGTCACATATTGATAGAGGAAAATCTCTGTTGATTATTAGGTCACTTGGTTTAGTCACATATTGATAGAGGAAAATCTCTGTTGATTATTAGGTTACTAATGGTTTAGTCACATATTGATAGAGGAAAATCTCTGTTGATTATTAGGTCACTTGGTTTAGTCTCATATTGATAGAGGAAAATCTCTGTTGATTATTAGGTCACTTGGTTTAGTCACATATTGATAGAGGAAAATCTCTGTTGATTATTAGGTCACTTGGTTTAGTCACATATTGATAGAGGAAAATCTCTGTTGATTATTAGGTCACTTGGTTTAGTCACATATTGATAGAGGAAAATCTCTGTTGATTATTAGGTCACTTGGTTTAGTCACATATTGATAGAGGAAAATCTCTGTTGATTATTAGGTCACTTGGTTTAGTCACATATTGATAGAGGAAAATCTCTGTTGATTATTAGGTCACTTGGTTTAGTCACATATTGATAGAGGAAAATCTCTGTTGATTATTAGGTCACTTGGTTTAGTCACATATTGATAGAGGAAAATCTCTGTTGATTATTAGGTCACTTGGTTTAGTCACATATTGATAGAGGAAAATCTCTGTTGATTATTAGGTCACTTGGTTTAGTCACATATTGATAGAGGAAAATCTCTGTTGATTATTAGGTCACTTGGTTTAGTCACATATTGATAGAGGAAAATCTCTGTTGATTATTAGGTCACTTGGTTTAGTCACATATTGATAGAGGAAAATCTCTGTTGATTATTAGGTTACTTGGTTTAGTCACATATTGATAGAGGAAAATCTCTGTTGATTATTAGGTCACTTGGTTTAGTCACATATTGATAGAGGAAAATCTCTGTTGATTATTATGTCACTTGGTTTAGTCACATATTGATAGAGGAAAATCTCTGTTGATTATTAGGTCACTTGGTTTAGTCACATATTGATAGAGGAAAATCTCTGTTGATTATTATGTCACTTGGTTTAGTCACATATAGATAGAGGTTTTTTAATTTCTCCATAATATTTTTACTGGTTGTATATTATATATTAAAACCTTTTGATAATAGTATTGAAATTTAAATGTTACTGAAGAAAAATGTGAAGCTAGATATATTTCTATTGATAAAAGGAGATGTTTGGTATGTCATCACTGAGACAACAACCAAACAACATAAAAAACCAAAATACTTCTACAGGTCAAGGACAGTTTGAATTAAGAGACAAGTGTCTATACAATATGTCTAACTCTGGAATAGTTGAATTTAAGTTATGCAAACTCTTGTCTTAATATGTTAAATGTTGATTGAAAGGCTGGAAAGTATTCTCTTATGTTCATATCTTAAACAATGATACATGTAGCAGTCAAATTGTCAAAACAAAAATTGAGAATAAATTTTGCCTAGCGTAGACTGGTTATACATTTATTATATTTTAGTTTGTTAAGCTTCACAGTTATGTTGGTTATAAGTTGAAATGACCTTTTACTAAAATAGATACATGTATGTATATATAATAAAACTTGTTATTGATTATAAGAGACAGAGAGTAGGTCAATTACTTATACATGTATTTGTGATGAGGCATCAGAGGACATTTTTGGTTTTCTCATGTAATATACATATTTCATAATGAAGGAGGATGAGGTTTTTTTTCATTACAACTTATTGATGCAATGTTTTTGTTGCTAGAAGGAAAATTTGCAAATAATTGTAAAAATTTATATTTTTTATTAAACAATAGATGATTTTGGTAGACTTCAGCAAAAATATGATGGCCTCGATTTATTTATTTACCACTTTCATTATCATATTGACATTTCCAATATTTCTATAACAACGTCCAATTGTCACCTGAATAAGAGGGATAAATAATTGTTCACCTTTGAAATTCAAAAAATAAAAATAATGATTGCCATGGATAAACTTTTAAGTAATTGAAGACTTTAAAAAGTCAGAATCAGTAACTGACATGACATCAGTTTATCCATATATCATATTATGTACCAGGGCAAACTGCAGATGATAGCAGATGCAGATCCAGGATTTAAAAAAATTTGTAAGGGTTCTGCGGAACCCAGTGTCTCGCCTACTTTTTCTGTTAATCGCAGGCTCAACAAAAATGAGGAAGTAAATCAATAAAAATATTCCTCTTGATACTATCTTTTGATTGTAAGAAGCTTCTGTCCAAGTTTGGTAAAAATCCAGGATAGTTTATGAATCTAATAAATGTTTAAAAACTTTAACTGCAGACTGAATGTATTGTTAACTGGAAGAAAACAAAATTTCCTTCTAGATACTAGCATTTGATCATAAACAAGCTTCTGTCCAAGTTTGGTAAAAATCCAAAATAGTATAAGAAAGTTATTAAAATTTTAAAAACTTTAACCACAGAGTGAATGTGTTGTTTCCTGGCAGAAAATCTAAGTCCATTTAAAAGTAAAAAATGGAAAAAATGGATTTATTTTTTTACAAAATTTCCTTCTAGATACTAGCTTTTGATCATAAACAAGCTTCTGTCCAAGTTTGGTACAAATCCAAAATAGCATAAGAAAGTTATTAAAATTTTAAAAACTTTAACCACAGAGTGAATGTGTTGTTTCCTGGCCGAAAATCTTAGTCCATTTAAAAGTAAAATAAGGAAAAAATGGATTTATTTTTTTACAAAATTTACTTCTGGATACTATCTTATGATTATAAACAAGCTTCTGTCCAAGTTTGGTACAAACCCAGGATAGTTTAAGAAAGTTATTAAAATTTTAAAAATTTTAACCACAGAGTGAATGTAATATTTCCCGGCAGAAAAACTAAGTCCATTTATAAGTAAAATACGGAAAAAATGGAATTTTATTTTTACAAAATTTACTTCTGGATACTATCTTATGATCATAAACAAGCTTCTGTCCAAGTTTGGTAGAAATCAAGGATAGTTTAAGAATGTTATTAAAATTTCAAAAACTTTAACCACAGAGTGAATATTTGTGGACACCGCCAACGACTACGCCGACGACGCCGACGGAATGTAGGATCGCTATGTCTTGCTTTTTCGACTAAAGTCGAAGGCTCGACAAAAAAGGGAGGCCTCCAAACTAGGCAAAATAAGGAGTGGAACATTTGAAAATTCTATATATTGACCATATAGGGAGGGGGCCTGGCTCCCTGCTCCCTGCTCCACCACCCTAAATCCACCTCTTGATAGTATTGTGTAAATTTGATATATTCCAGAACACATTTAAATTCAGATTCAGTAAAAAATATTTATTGTCCACAGTAAAAAATATGTCCCAGCTGTGTTGTAAGAACACTTTAATAGTTGAATATAATTACATAACAAATATTACATGTAACTTTTGGTTACCTGTCTATTGATTCAGCTTCAGAATTCAGGAATATAAGGGATTTAGATACTGTAAATTTAGAAATTATTGCGTACATTTATTATTGCGATTTTTAAAGATTGGACAAAAATGAGAGATAAATTATTGTGATTTCAGAAAAATATTCATATAACGGTATCAGATATCAGAATGCAAGTTCTTATTATTGCGAAACTCACCTATTCACATTATTCACATTAATAAAAACCTCGCAATAATTGCCGAATTTACAGTATTTGAAAAAGACAGATCAGGCTCCACTGGCACCTTGACCAGTACAATTTTAGATCTAATCCTGTACATAACAAATTTTATTGAGAATAAAATGAAATTTAAAGAAAAGAACAACTTATAACTAGCTACATTGTAGATCTTATTTATTAAGTACATGTATATTTTCAGCCCCTTCAATACGGGAGGACGAGTAATATCTGGTGGTGAGTTTTCTTCTGATGGAAGTCCAGTTTCAACACCAGGCCATTCACCATATAGTAGTTGTACAAATTTAGCAAACATCGAGGACGAATTTGCTGGATTCTACGATGACGTTGAAGGGAAGAGTCAGTGTAATAAACTTGATTTCAGTGATTTTCTTACGAACACAAATGTGATATTTTCAATGGACAGTGATACGGACAAGGCAGATAGTACCGATCATTTGGATTCTAAAAATAGAACCGATCATTTGGATTCTAAAAATAGTACCCATCATTTGGATTCTAAAAATAGTACCCATTCTAAAAATGATATTCATATTAGACCACACACAGTAAAGGAGAGAGTAAAACGATTACCAGTAGATATTGTCAAAGATGAAGATCAAAGACCTAATTCTGTACTCAATCCAACTGTTAAATGTCAAATTCTACTGCAGAAAGGTGTGTACACTTAATATAAGCAATTTAGTAGGTTATGTATGAAAGAATAATATCAGAAGTTTCATTTTTTAACTGCATTTGATTTTCGTTATTGTTATTGTTCTCTTGGGCTGTGTGCAGTATACAATTTTCTTTTGGGTGAATGTTAACACGTTTTGCCTATGCTGACCTTTTTCCTGTAAACCTCTCCTATATCATTATGTTCTGGACTGGTTTCAAGATTATGGATATAAAATGTGAGAATCAAATTTAAAACAGTACTTTGAGATGGAGGTCATAAACAAATCATTGTTATAGAAATGATTTCAGTGAAAAATGAACAATTTGATATTATGTTTCAATTGATATAAAATTGGTCCTTATGTAATTGTGTCAGTTAAGTACTTTACCATGACTGGAAATTTTTGGGTCAAGTGGTAAGAATAGCTGTAAAAATAGAAATACTTCATGTATGTAATAGGGAAGTTAGATATACTTCAGATTAAAAGAGTTTTTACATGACTGGGAAATTTTTTCTTTATGTGTTACTGGACCAACACTTTCCTGTTTCAATTAATTGTTGATGTTTTACTTTGTAAGCAGTTTTTTTCAATGTCAATTTCTCTATTAGAGATTCATCCTTATTTAACGCATATCATAATTACAACTTCTCTGATTGAAGTTTAATTTAAGCAAATTGATACGATATTTTGTGTTTGTATCCAACTCATAAATTTAAGTTAGGGCATATTGATGAAATAAGATTCCAAAAATACATAAAAATTGGTATTTCATATCCTATCATAAAAATAAGAAGATGTGGTATGATTGTCAATGAGACAACTATCCACCAGAGACTAAATGATGTAGTAGTAAGCAACTATAGCTCACAGTGAACCTTCAACAATGGGCAAAACCCAAACTGCATAGCAAGCATAAAAAGGCCTCGAAATGACTAATGTAAAACAATTCAAACGAGAAACTAATGGCCTGATTTATCTACAAAACAATAAATGAAAAACAAATATGATTTACCGCAACATATGTTGACATCATTTATAAAGCAATCAAATATGAAAGTAGTCTTTCAAATCTTTCTTGTAAGCTTAAAAGACTAATCAATAAAGCTTAAAAGCATTATGTTATTGTTAAATAATTGTATTTTTGTGGATATATATCAAATTATTAATTTACTCTTACAGTTTGAATTCAACACAGCTGAAATGTCAGTTTCTTTGAAAATTGTATTTAAACATTACAAAAAAATTATTTTCCATTGGTGGATAAAATTTAACAGTAAAAGACAATAAAGATATAACATTCGGTATAATAAATTAAATATCACATAGCTGAGAGGGTGATAGAGCAGATTGCTACCCCTCGAAAGAACATTGTCAACATCGGCTTGGTAACAATCTGCTCTATCACCCTCTCAGCTATGTGTTATTTATATAATGTTTTTCTGTAGTGTTTATGCATTACTCTGGAATACAGCAACCAGTATTAGAATGTTAGAAAGAATGATTTCTATATAATGGCTGATTCATTTCTTTGAGGTTGCTCTTAATAGATTCAAGTTTTTTTTTGACACAATATCAGTAACTATTGTTTTACTTGTAGGCATGTTTGTTTTCCCCCTCTCCAAAACTATTATTACAAAGTAAATAGACTTTTCCTTACTAAATTTGAATATTCAGTCTGTGATGTACTTTTTGTTATTCTGTTGACCTAGATTTTGGTAGAATTGAGTACTCAAAAACTAGTTTAAATCTGACACCATGTTAATGTGTAACAGAGAATCTTTTCTGGCAATGTAGTCTTTCGTTTCGGAAGAAGTAAACAAGTGTAAAATATCTGTGACACACATTCCCTAGGGTTTTAATGTCTTAACAGAATAAACGCAGTAGTATGAAGAAGGAATACTTAGTGCATTTCATGGAAGTTATACATGCCTGAAGGAATGTACTCTTATGTTGTACCTGTCCTATGTCAGGAACTTTGTCTTAGGTTGTCTGTTTATATTTTTATGTTTTTTTGTCCTTTAAACTATAGATTTTATAATTCAGATGAATAAAATGCTTAATGGAATATTGTTAGCAACGTCATTACCTCCCCTGTAACTGTATCGTATGCCCTTAATGGAATATTGTTTGCCATTTTTTTATTGAATACAAATCATAAATTTATAGTGTTACAGAAATTTTAATTTATTGTTTATATATAAAAATAAGAAGATGTGGTATGATAACCCATTTTTAAATTATTGATTTGATGACATAATTAAGTCTCATGCTTTAACAAACCTACTTGACCTTTCTCATTTTAAGGATGACCTATAGATGTAAATCATTTGAAAAGATAAATCAGTTTTCCTTCTTCCCAGTGTTGTGTTTATTCCATCCGATATGAAACTCTAGGGAATATGTGTCAAGTGATCCACAGTTGCTAAAGTACATCGATAAACACATCTGTCATTTCTTACCAAAAAAACCCCAACCTGATTGAAATTCAGTTTATTGAAGATATGCAATTTGAGGCCAAAAATAAAATTGAAATTGAAATTGTTTGCTGTTGCATACCTACCCACCTACAAAGCAGCCTTCCCGAAAAATTTGTGACACAAATCATTTCAATTTATAAAAAAAGTTTTCTTGTCTATGTTGTTGGCCAAAAAACAAAAAAAATCCCTACCTACCTTCCCAACCCTACAAGGCATGGGTAGGCAACATCAAACAAAGAATTTTTTAAGGGTGGCCTGACTATTATCTTTATGTTCTTTGAAAGAAGCATAAAGGGATTCTGATAAACCATAGCCCTGAAATGGTTAAACTCAATTTGTTGAAAATTATTGATTTTTTGGGGTGTTTTTTTCAAAGTAAATTGTAAATTTGATTTGATTTGTGTTAATCTTTTTCTTGACAGAACAAGGAATAGGATTAGGAATTTTACTAATGAGAAGAGACCATAACGGAACCAGTCATATCTACATACAGGATGTCAAGTCTGGTTCCCCTGCTGATAAAGACGGAAGACTCAAGTAGGTTTATATGGTACTGAATAAGTAGGTGCTTTTATAAAGATGAAGTTCAAAAATGGAAAGCAAGCGACTTTAATATCACAACATTTTTATTTTATATTTTGTAGTTGTCTCCCTTTACTCAGAAGTTGATTTGATTGATTTGATTTTTGGTGTTTTAACGCCACTTTTAAGCCCGGAGAAAACCACCGACTTTCGATAGGAAAACTGACAATCCTAGTCAATTAAGATTGGAGTCAAGTGCACCCGCACGAGCGGGGTTTGAACTCACAACCTCAGTGTTGACTGGCTAGTGATTACAGTAGTAACTACTTAAACCACTCGGCCACCGAGGCCCGCCTCAAGAAGTTGACTGTCTTGGGGTGTTTCACTTGTACAGTTACGATGCATCTATGTATCTCAATTGCACGAGAAAAGTCACCCAAGCTATCTCTCAATCAAGATCTAGTGACCTCTATGTTTGCATTATTCAAATGAGAAGTTTTCTGATTAGGTGTTTAATACCCCAACAAACAAAGTTGGGGGCCTAGGTGGCCGAGTGGTCTAAGTAGTTACTACTGTAATCACTAGCCAGTCAACACTGAGGTTGTGAGTTCAAACCCCGCTCGTGAGGGTGCACTTGACTCCAATCTTAATTGACTAGGATTGTCAGTTTTCCTATCGAAGGTCAGTGGTTTTCTCCGGGCACTCCAGCTTCCTCCACCAAAAAAAACTGGCTGCCACGAAATAGCCCAAAGGCGGTGCTTAAAAGTGGCGTTAAAACACCAAAAATCAAATCAAATCACAAACAAAGTTTGGGTAGCATATATAGAAATCTGTCTTGTTCAGTTGTGAACTTTATTTATATTTATAGTATATTAATGATACTTGGTGGTATTGTTGCCAATCACCAGAGGATGTGTCAGGAATACGGTTGTAATGTCTGTCTTAAATATGTAATAATATATGTCACAAACTTAGTTCAGCTTTATATCCTCAATTCAGATATACAATGTGTTGCCCAACTTGACGTTTGAATACAGTAAGGATTATTTATGATGCTTGATGTAATTGTTGCTCTCAGCCAGATTGTGTGTTGCAAACAAAGTTAGAATAGAATAGAGAAAGGAAACGAGGAATGTTTCAAAGAGACAACAACCCGACCAAAGAGTAGAAAACAGCCCAGGGCCAAATGTTTGTAAGGTCGAGGTCAATAATTTTGAGTTACAGTGTGAAACATGTTATAGGAACACAAGCCTTGATTTTTTTTAGAGAATTTAATTTTTTAATACCAATACCTTTTAATAATAGTATACTTTATCATTCCATAATCACTACTTTAATGTCTCTGCTATTTTTGAACAGAAAAGAAGACATGATATTGGAAGTGAATGGTAGATCGTTACAGAACTTATCCTTATTAGATGCTCACCAAATATTTCGTGGTTTACAACCAGGCAATGTTACATTGGTTATTAAAAGGAAACAAAAACATAAGGTCAGATTTGAATTTTTTACAATTTCTATTTACTGGAAAATTGAATTTGGAGTTTCATAGCAAAATGTGGCATTTCTAAAGAAAGAATATACATCTTGTATTCATAACTCATAAACCTATACCCTTATTTCAATGAAAATTTCAAACTTTAGATCCGAACGTTATAATTTTTAACTTCAAAAAGTCCTCAGTGAGGATATAAGTTTGTGAGAATCTCTGCTCACATTTTCCCTTGAATCTATTTATTGTGATAAAAAGTGACTATAACGGGAAGTTAGGTTGTTAAATTATAGGTGGGATATGTATTAATGTTATTTCACTTGTCGTTTTTTTTACTGAAATAGCCAGTATTGCTAGGTTTAGTTGGCAAAGAAAAAGCTGAATGGCAGCTTGATTTTTACAATTTATATCATTTAAAGAATTTCAGCGTCATCATTATTTCAGAAAATTTAGGTTGCAAAGTAGTCCGAAAGAAAAAAAATTCCAAAAGGTTTTGATCCTCATAGCCAGAAGCTTTGTTAACTAAAGGATGATTTGAACAGATTTTTATAGTAAACAGGCTATTATTTCAACTTGGAATTATTTTTAATTATGGAATTTGCATAATTTCTCGGCTTGAAATTTTTAATAAATTCCATGTTTATTCTGTACTTTAATGTTCTGTGCTGCACACAACACTTTCTATTACACAGAAGATAGTACATTTTCAATAGAATGTACTGTGCCGCGCACAACACTATCTATACAAAATACATTTTATGGAAAGTGTTATGAACCGCTCAAAACAATTTATAATACCAAATAAACATGGAATTTATTAAAAATTTTAAGCACAAGAAGTTACGCAAATTCCATAATTAAAAATAATTCCAAGTTCAAATAATAGCCTGTTAGTACCATAGGACTAATAAAATTGAAAAGTTCTACTGTTTAATGAACTATAAACACCATTTTGTACAGTCTTTTCATTACATACTATTGTAGGAAGGAATTGATTGATATTCAGGTATAAATCTATATGGTACAGGCATGGAATAGTCTGGAAAAAAGTCAAGGTCATTCAACGTTCTTATGCTTTATGGTTTATTTATTCAAAAAACTATTATAAACTACATTAGATTTCTACATGTACTTTTAAAAAATCTTCACACCATATTTGAAGGTGATAGATTGTTATTGAACTTTTATTTGACCTTGACTTTTTTAAAGATATGAATAAAGTTTAGTTAAACTATAACATTTAGTTGAAATATTAACTTTGAATAGTATTAAATCATTTCTTTGTTTGTAAAAATGTACTGGAGTTACATGCTAAAACTATTATGATTACTGATCTGCCGGTAAACAGATTAATTTCCCTGCTAGGAAGTATAGAACTGGTTTAGAACAATGAAAGACAATGGTAAGAACTGAGTTTTGAAACTGTTACAGTGACAATGTATTTATAGGCCATCAATGTTATTTTTAATAAAACAATCAGTAGTTCAAAATACTCAAAGATCAAGTTGCAAAAGAAAGTCATTTTGTTTTGCCTATGATTAAAGTCATGATTCGCGAGACTTCTCTATAATATAAATGGTAGCAATGACATTGGCATTTATAATTTGCAGAAAATCTTACTATGTTATCCCCTCTTTCACCAATGTTATCAAATCTGTATGACCCATGTTCATTATGAAATCTTGTCACCTTGACCTCATTTTAAAGCTCCAGTGTTCAGGTTACCATAGGTCTTATCCTCAGTAACTATACATGCTAGGTCAACAGTATTTGGTATGTGGATTGTTGTGAGGAATATAGATCTGCCTGACTAAAATCTGTTGGTTCTGACCTCATTTCCGAGTGATCAGATTTATTTTAGGAATTTATGCCTTTCTAATATAAGACATATATAAGGCATTGATATCATTTTCATATTCCAGCGGTCAGCTTTAACTTTTAATATTTTAAAGCTTTATAAACCATAAAATATACATGGTAGGTTGAAATATTTTGTTTGTGAATTCATTACTTGAAAATATTGACCCGACAGATTTCATTTGACCTTAACCTGAGTTTGAGAAAACCTTACCTTTTAAAATAACTTAAAATGAAAATATTGCAGCATTCATTGTATTAACTCTTTGTCTAGAAAGATAGAAGCATAGACAATAATATTCCTTGAATCTAGCATGAACAAAACCCATATTTTACAGTAATCAGTATAAAAATATGATTTGGTATGATTGCCAATGAGACAACTATCCACCAGAGACCAAATGACGTAGAAGGTTTCTTTTCAATATTTCCTATGGTAACATTTACTCTATTCCATAATTACTTTCACCAGTTTGACAGTCCCTTCTGGAGAGTGAAGGCTGACCATCAATTTCTATCCCTGCATGGAAGTAGTTAAGAAGTAATACCATTATGTCTCTTTTGAAGATACCATTCATTAATTTTTATCAATAAAAAGCAAACTGATTATCCCAGATAAACTTATCTTTACCCTTGTGAATATGTGCATCTTGTAAATATATAATGTATAGTGTATTTCTCTTTGTATTAACCGGTGGATGATCACAATTCTACAATATACTACCGTTCCTAATTTATATTATTTCCAACATTAGATAACTGATTATACATAGAAAATTCTATTAAACATGAAGCACTTTTAAATAATCAGAAAATTCTATTAAACATGAAGTACTTTTAAACAATCAGAAAATTCTTTTAAACATGAAGCACTTTTTTAACTATCAGAAAATTCTATTTCTGAAATCTTAAAGTTTTGCTGATTTTATATCATTTGCTTGAAATAATTGGCAACCATAAGGCTGTCTGTACAAAAAATTACCAAGAGAATGATTGCTATGGTCATATAAGGGACCACATATATAATTTTATGGAAACATTAAGGATGGTGTCATCTAGAAGCCAAAAGACAGTTGGTCATCGTTACATTCTGCATTTCAGTTACTCAAAATGTATGTACACAGTGTCCAGAATAATAAAATAGAAAAGATAATTATGTGTAAATTTTATGTCCTCACTCCTTCTGTCCTTCCATTCTTTTGAAATCAAACAGTCGTCCAGACTTTTTGTTATGCCTGCAGATATTAATCTGCTTTCTAGTTTTACTATATATATGTAAAAAGAACTCAATTTTGGGGGATTTTAAAGCCACTCATTTCACTTTAAAAAGTTGTTGGTACGAATATTTCGGTTAACCAAAAAATAACAGTGATATCTGATTTGACTTCTGTGTTATAATGAAAATGTATTTACTGTATACAGTATTATATACCTACATTAGCATGGCATATGAAGAGGAGCTGTTATGAAAAAATGCTGCATAAGCGATGCTTTATTGCATGTTTATCGGGCTGCCTCTACAAAACCCGCTGGCAGTGCATGTTTAAATGTATATAAGGATTTTTATCTGGAGTTTACAAGAACATATGAATATAATAAATGATAGATTTGAAAACAATACTTTTATACTGAGCTCACGACATTTGTCTTATTTAATTCTGAACCTGCACTTATTTCATATTCCAATACTGAATAAAGTACATTTATAACTTATGATATTTTTTCTTCACTTAGTATGAATGCTTCACTAAATATAACTTAAGTTCTCAAAAACATCTGGAAAATATGCAATATCAGTTTATCTTAGCCACGTGATTAGTCAGTCAGAGCTGTTTCAAGGGAAACAACTCAGATAAAATTTATCTTCAGGTGAAATTAACAAATTTTAACTTGTATTCGTTTTTGTTGTCATTAGAAAACAAAACTTTTTTCTTTATTTTTCAGACTGTTGTGATAAATATCCCACAAGCCAAACCAGTTGTTAGATATAAACCAGCTAAAAACAACGATGAAGGTACGCCATTTGATTCTGATAACCCAGGATACATTTAATACTGTAGAGTGCTTTGGCATAGATCTGTTTTATTACTTTCTGGACCAGGAAAAGAGGGAACAATTTCTGTGCCTACTCTTTGTTATGGATTTTTTAATACATAGAGCTTTTGATCAATGAAGCATTAGTGAACTGTTTCAAACTGCATGTTATTTATTCATTAATTATATGTCTCAATTAATTTGTTTTTGTTTTTGTTGGCTAAAGTCTTGTGAAGTTCAGTAGAACTGTACATGTTATTTACATATTTGATTTATTCAGATTTTCTATTGTAGCATTTATTTAGTGCTGCAAATTTATGTATTCGTTGAAGCCTTGTCACGACAGTATACTGATTTATTCAGATTTTCTATTGTAGCATTTATTTAGTTCTACAAATTTCTGTATTCGTTGCCATGACAGTAAGTCAATCAGTATTACAGTTTTGTTTATTTAGTTTGTTTATTGTTTTACTTAATTTTGGCGCTCATGTTTTAGTGCCAAAAAGCTTTGCCATCATTTGATTTCTACCTGTCTTTTTTCATTCATCATTTATATTTCAATTTTTGTTCCTGCCTCACAAAAATAAGACCTACCATAGGCGTTTCTGCAGAACTGAAAGTTTACAAGATATTAACAAGTGCTTGTGATATTATGGTGTAGGTTTTTTTAATTACAGTCAAATCAATGTTACATATATAGTTTTCCTTCCAGTTTAAACTTAAACTTTTTTGCCATTAATCTATTGCAGGTTCATTCAGGATACATTTTCTATTGATGTAAACAAATTTCATGGAAAATTTTGCAAAGTTAAAACAATTTTCACTTTACTAGTACATATTGTTAATGGTTCTTGGTGCAGACAATTTCTCAGTTTAGAAATTCAATAGATAAACTAGCACACTTCAAAACTGAATGTTCTTCTGTTTGAAGTAAAGACAATTTTTTGGATTGAAAACACTATCGTAAATTAGGACAGAAAGGTGTACTCTATAGGATATATTTGTACATTTTTTTTGTAAATCATATTGAGAACGCTCTTGAAAATTATACACACGACTCTATCATGTTTAAATGATTATGAAATTAGAAAAAAATAGTAATTTTAAAATAGACCAAATTGAAAAAAGCCTTTACTTGTGATGTAATTGTTATAACTTTTGTGACAAGACGACTTATGAAGTTATATTTTTTAACTGGGTTTTCTGGAGGGGTAGTCCAACTATTAATTTGAGTACTTCTACAGGTGGATAGGCAGCTCCAAACTTTTTCCATGTGATAGCTTAAGAACTCTTAAACAAATCCTTTTCATTTTTTTGTCGAGCCTGCGACTTTTGTCGCAGAAAGCTCGACATAGGGATAGCGATCCGGCGGCGGCGGCGGCGGCGGCGGCGTTAGCTAACTTCTTAAAAGCTTTATATTTTAGAAGATGGAAGACCTGGATGCTTCATACTTTGTATATGGATGCCTCATGTTACGGTTTCAGTCAGTCACATGTCCAATGTCCTTGACCTCATTTTCATGGTTCAGTGACTACTTGAAAAAAAAGTTCAGATTTTTTGTAATGTTAAATTCTCTCTTATTATAAGTAATAGGATAACTATATTTGGTATGTGCGTACCTTGCAAGGTCCTCATGCCCGTCAGACAGTTTTCACTTGACCTCGACCTCATTTCATGGATCAGTGAACAAGGTTAAGTTTTCGTGGTCAAGTCCATATCTCAGATACTATAAGCAATAGGTCTAGTATATTCGGTGTATGGAAGGACTGTAAGGTGTACATGTCCAACTGGCAGGTGTCATCTGACCTTGACCTCATTTTCATGGTTCAGTGGTTATAGTTAAGTTTTTGTGTTTTGGTCTGTTTTTCTTATACTTTATGCAATAGGTCTACTTTATTTGGTGTATGGAATGATTGTAAGGTGTACATGTCTAGCTGGCAGGTGTCATCTGACCTTGACCTCATTTTCATGGTTCAGTGGTCAAAGTTAAGTTTTTGAGTTTTGGTCTTTTTTTCTAATACTGCATGCAATAGGTCAGCTATATTTGGTGTATGGAATGATTGTAAGGTGTACATGTCTAGCTGGCAGGTGTCATCTTACCTTGACCTCATTTTCATGGTTCAGTGGTCAAAGTTAAGTTTTTGAGTTTTGGTCTTTTTTTCTAATACTATATGCAATAGTTCAACTATATTTGGTGTATGGAAATATTTTATGATCTATATGTCAGTCACGCAGGTTTTATTTGACCTTGACCTCATTTTCAAGGTTCATTGCTCAGTGTTAAGTTTTTGTGTTTTCGTCTGTTTTTCTTAAACTATAAGCAATAGGTCAACTATATTTGTTGTATGGAAGAATTGTTAGCTGTACATGCCTGCCTAGCATGGTTCATCTGACCTTGACCTCATTTTCATGGTTCATTGGTCAATGTTTAGTTTACTTGGTTAATGTTAAGTTTATGTGACAGTTGTAATAAAGCTTTATATTTAGGACTATCAACATAATATCAATGATTAGTAAAGAAGGCGAGACATTTCAGCGTGTGCACTCTTGTGATTTAATGTTTCCCATGACAAAATGGAGATTGTTAGATATTGATGATTTTCACCATTGCAATTCAGGTGTTGTGTTTCTTGATAAAAACAAAAAATCTTCTTTTTGTCGTTTTAGTGCAATAACTTGAAAACCATTCAAATTTTATATATTTAGTTTCTCATGACAAAAATTTTTTGGAGGTGGAGTGTTACAAAATTACAATTACAAATATGTCTTCTGAAAACCAGTTTGCTGTCAATTTGAGATCCTTGTGTTTCATATATCATTACTTAAACTTCAGTGCAGTAAACAGTATATAAATATACAACCAGATTTAACCAATTTAAATTAAAGACAATATGTATCAAGAAGTTCACATGTTTGGAGACTGACATCAATGATAGTTTACTTTCCTCAGTTTTATATTTACCAACCAGATTTTATTAATGTCTTTATTTCTTGTTAGAAGATACATTTAGATCAATTAGGGTGTCTGTTGATCACCCAAAAGAGATGATATAATGATTGTTTAGTTAAACAAAACTAACTAAGAATTCAAAGCATTTGAATAATAACAAATAAACTTCTGCCTCCTGATGCGAGATTTTCTCGCTGTGTTGAAGACCCATTGGTGGCCTTAGGCTGTTTTCTGCTCTTTGGTCGGGTTGTTGTCTCTTTGACACATTCCCCGTTTCCATTCTCAATTTTATTCAATGTTGTAAGACGATGACATACACCAAATAGAAATGTTTTCTGAAACTGAAAATAGGATTTTAGTTGAGATATCTTTTTTTTTTACCAGGAATTACTTTTATAGATAGATTTTCACCGATATAAAGTTAGTCTGAAATCCCATTTAAAAACGGTCATATTTCCTCACTTATGTGGTTATCTTGGTAAATCTTTAGATATCTCTATTGTACTTATGCATTTTTTCAGGTTATCATTTTACATGTATTTCATAAGCATTTTTAATAACATATATATTTTGAATCATCAATTAGAATACTATGATACTCATAACATCAGATTCATTGCAAGAATTGAAAACCTGGTGAACAAAATGGCTTCTGTATCTTGGTATTTACTTAAGTGCAATACTGTTTTAAATGATGTCAACACCTACACCTATTTTGTATCATTGTTTTATAGTTCATGTTTTACTTTGTTCACCTTGTTTATCATTTATGTTGAAATTTCTGTAAATCAAACCACATTTAGTGCTCATACATACTCACATACCCAAATACAGACAGGATATTTACTTTTGGTTGATTTCCCCATTAGATAAGATAGTTAATGATTTTACATTCCAGAAACAGTGATGTAAGTTGGCTGATAATGGCAACTGTCTGGGAAATTGATTTTGCTCTTCATTTCACCAGCCCTGCCCCCCCTTTATAGAGCTACGTATATGGTAAATGCAAAGTCCTCTTCTAATGTTGCCTTGTGAACCCCCCTTTTTTCAAAAATCTTTATTCACAACCAAGTATTGTAATAGGGGAGATAACACTAATTTAATAAATAAAGACATATGTAAATAAATCCATATATGAAAATCGTATTTAACTGGAGTACATAGTGGTTTGGTTTACATTAATTTTTACTGTTTATAGTTCATCATGAAATCCACATCCATTATACTCTATACGACCAGTTCTGTAATTGTCAAAGGTTATAGTAACTGTTTAAAAAACAAGTCTGAGGAGGTGCAGACTTATATTGTATAAACATGTATGTTTTTAACTAATATTGTTTTCATTTGTATGTTAGCATGAATTAGTATAGCAATTTGTTATTTATGAGATTAATGTCATGTTCTACGAAATGTATAATTTTATTCACAGTTATGGCAAAATATTTGTCATTTATTTTCAGTTGAAATATAAATCATGAAACTAATTTGTGTTTTGCTTCTTTTAAACTGAATACTCATCCTTCTACCAAGAAATTGTACAGGGTTGGAATGTTACCTATATAATTTTACACTAGACTGTGACATCTTTGTAATACTATACTGGAATTCTTGTCATAAGATACTGCCAGTATGGTCCATACACGGAACTGAGAACTTAATTTTGAAGGCTTGATATCGTAAAAAAATATATCTTTACTGTGGATGCAATATTATTTGTTGGATAACGATTTTCATGGATATAAAAGATATAGGTAAACCAAGAATTTAGATATTCTACGAAGTACAAATTTTCTATATGTTTTGTACAGACTTTGGCAAGACATGAAATCATGTATCCACAATATTATAAGTGTTCATCAATCCATGAAAATTAGTACCCAGGAAAATAAATGAAACTACAGTATATGTGTATACCCTGACTGTTCCGATACTGTGGATTAATTTATTTTCGTGGGTACCAATTTTCGTGGATTGAGGAAAACTTGCATTTTTGTGGATATTAAATTTCTTGGTTTTGGCAAAGTCTGCATACCTTCCTTTAGAAAATTTGTAATTCGTTGAGCATTTAAATTCGTGGTTCCCCTGTTCCCACGAAATCCACAAAAATTGGTATCCAACGAATATTAATGAATCCACAGTAACTATAACATGTAATAACTAGAAACAAAAAATGGTTTTATATGTCTTTGTAATAACTAAATAAATATAGCTTTCAATTTTCCATTTTTCTATTTTCTGACAGAAGAGAAATGTCAAGTAATCTGTTTCTATAAAATTGACTTTTATTTGGAACCTCCCATTGACTTATCCAACAATTTAACACTAATATCGTACTGAGTGTTTATTAATTGCTTTATCAATTGAAACATGAAATCTAAATTGGATAAAATATGTTTAAATTGTGATTAGATTTCACTGAATAAACAAAATTATTTAAATTCTTTAGGTGGTCGATTTTCAGCAGATCACCTGTATCTTTAAATCAAAATCCAGATTTGTGAATGTCAACAGCTGATTGAAATACATGGATACATGTAGTCAGCATGGTGTAATGGTCTAAATGCATATGAAAACATTTCCCAGAACCTCAAGCAATATTGGGAAAAACTATCTTTTAGAAAGAACGTGTCATCATGTATCAGAACCAATGAAAAAAATCACTGAAGTTACTCAAAAAATGATATATGACCTAAACCAATGAAAAAATCACTGAAGTTACTCAAAAAATGATATATGACCTAAAAAATGGTGACGTTTTGTTAAGTTTGGGTAACATAAAAGCCTCATCATTTATCTAGTTTTGATACAATGAAAGGGTCCTTGCACAAATATAATTAAGTGTGGAAAATAGTTTTGCATGAGCTTGCCAATTCATCTATTATTCTCAACAATTTTTACCAATATTTGTGCAATGACGATATAATACTGTATAGAAGAATTTTTGCAGTTACTGAAGACAAGCTCAAAGTACTGAATTAGTTGGTAATGAAATCCTGCCTTCTCACACTCATAAGATCAACTTTATATATCTCATTACATAGAAAGGTTTGTCAGAATCTCTAGTTTTAATTGACTACATTATACTACATATGAACTCGGGAAGGTTGAAAAGAATACAAGTACATTCTATGTCAGAAAATAAAAAGAGGTAGGACCATTATCAAAAAGTCTTTCAATCTTTACTTCAATTTCCATATGTGTTTCTAAGGTTCTAAAAACATTATGTTTTTATGCCCCTGTGGCAGAGAGGGCATTAAGTGTTATCCTTGTCCATCCGTCCGTCCCAAAATTAGTATCCATTCTTATACTTTCATTTGCCTCAACCAAATATTATGACACTTATACACAATGCTTATTACCACAAAACACAAATCAGGTTTGAATTTGGATGGCGTCACTTATACCGCTCTGGAGTAATGTCCCTTTATATATGGAAAAATTGCTGAATGTTTTGTTTCCGTTCTCTGATTTTAGTTTGCTTCAACCAAATGTTATGAAACTTATACACAATGCCCTATTACCACAAAACTCAGATCAAGATTGAATTTGGGTGGTGTCACTTTAACCGTTCTTGAGTCATGCCTCTTTATAACGTTGTATGCAAGCGGAGCTAGGTTTAACATTGTAAAAATGTTTAGCTCCACAAAGAGAAATTACAGTATGTCTATATAAAAGACCTAATGAGGAAACTGGTGATTTTTTTACCAGGAGAGCAATATAGACACAGGTGATCACTGCCTCATGTTTTTATTTATTTTTATTTTTTTTATCATAAATCCCTTCAACATTAACATGTAGCACTGACTAACATTTTGACTTTATGGAAATATGTTGAAAGTTGTAAAAAGTATATGATGTAGACTCTCTTATATTCAAGTTCCAGTAGGATTTGACAAATTTTAGATTTGTAAATGAAACAGATAGGGGAATTGGCCCTACATGTTTGTTGTATTACATTATGAGTTCAATGACCAAGTTTAAAGAAAAGGAAATCTTTAGGTCTACTGCTGTTATGTAGGAAAACTAGGTAGGATCTTAAAGGTGTTGATAAGTTGAGGACAACCATAAAAAATAAGTTTAACAATCATGTTAATTTTGGGTGAAAATATTCCAAAATTCAATTCTCATGATGGATCATCTATTCAAAATTAATGAGGCAATAAAAAAGAAATGTTTTCTCATAAACTTATATAATACATGTGTCATGAATATCCTTGTCATGGTGAAAATGATACCATACAAAGTTATGTGAACTTTTTAACAGAAATAAGAGAGATTCTCTTTTATACCACATATTTCACACAGTAATTTTGTAGTCTGGTTTTCATTTGTAAAAATAAAAATAAGGAGGTGTGGTATGATTGCAAATGAGACAACTTATAATCCACCAGAGTTCAAATGAAGTAAAAGTTAGCAATTATAGGCAATTGTACGACCTTCAACAATAAGGAAAACCCATACTGAACAGTCGGCTATATAAAAAACGACATGCAAAATGTAAAAACAATTTAAACGAGAACACAAATGACCTAATTTATAACAAAACAACAATTAACGAAAATCACATATGACAGACATAAGGTTACAGTTATCTGTACAAAATATCCCAGTAAACACATGACAGACATAAGGTTACAGTTATCTGTACAAAATATCCCAGTAAACATACGTCAGACATAAGGTTACAGTTATCTGTACAAAATATCCCAGTCAACATATGACAGACATAAGGTTACAGTTATCTGTACAAAATATCCCAGTAAACACATGACAGACATAAGGTTACAGTTATCTGTACAAAATATCCCAGTAAACATACGTCAGACATAAGGTTACAGTTATCTGTACAAAATATCCCAGTCAACATATGACAGACATAAGGTTACAGTTATCTGTACAAAATATCCCAGTCAACATATGACAGACATAAGGTTACAGTTATCTGTACAAAATATCCCAGTCAACATATGACAGACATAAGGTTACAGTTATCTGTACAAAATATCCCAGTAAACATATGACAGACATAAGGTTACAGTTATCTGTACAAAATATCCCAGTCAACATATGGTTACAGTTATCTGTACAAAATTTCTCAGTCAAATATCTGTCGTTTGTTTATGTGTTACATATTTGTTTTTCGTTCATTTTTTGTACATAAATTAGGCCGTTAGTTTTCTCGTTTGAATTGTTTTACATTGTCATTTCGGGGTCTTTTATAGCTGACTGTGCGGTATTGACTTTGCTCATTGTTGAAGGCCGTACGGTGACCTATAGTTGTCAATTTCTGTGTCATTTGGTCTCTTGTGGAGAGTTGTCTCATTGGCAATCATACCACATCTTCTTTTTTATATATATGACAGTTATCTGTACAAAATATCCAAGTTAAACCTAATGGTAAAGTACAACTTATACCACAAATTTTGAAAATTATAGTCTTAGTTTGAAAATGTTTCAACATTATTTTCTAGCATTTAGTCAAATATATTTTGATTTCTTAAAAAAACTATATTAAGAAATAAATTGCTGCTGAAATAATAATTAATAAAGGAATTCAGAAAAAAGAGTGACACTTTGAAGTTAGCCTAACAAAATATAAATGGCTCAAGTTTCACCTGAATACAATATTTATACATGTATTTTTTAAAAGGAGTAGGGGCAATGAAGTAAAAAAAAATTCTCTGAAAATATTTTTATTTTTTATAATGAGTTTGATGTCTTTTTCATGGCAAATGCACATAAAATTACTAGAAACATTTTTTGGTTAATTTTATCATAAAATATGTTCATTATGATATCATTATCACAACATTAACAAATTTGAATATTTTTTTTTAATTTTCATAACATGTTTATTTTTTCTCTGTCATATTACTTTCAAGGAAATAACAACACTCATAGTTTAGTGTTGAAAAATTGGTCTTTATGTCCTTCTGATCTTTATGTCAAATTAGTAAACCTTATCTTTCATAACTCATAACCTGGTTGTCAATTTGCACATTTTTTACTAATCATAAAAATATTTGATAGGTAAGAAAAAGATAACATCATACGATTATCTGTCACATTGCAGGTCATATTTGTAGATTGAACGATTGAACGATAAAAGTAAACAAAATGTTATGGCCTAATATTAATAAATAATAGATCTACCCTGTAGTAAGTATAGTATTCTCAACGCTCTGCTTCACACCCATACCTGCAAATTCCTGACGTTTACATGGGTTATTGTCAAATTTAAATCTCGGTGAAAACATAGTAAACTTGATGAAGGAAGATTCTTTATTTTATCATTGGGAGGTGTTTATGTGTCAATTAAATGAAATAGAGTAGCCGAGTATGAATAGAAAGTTACAGATAGAAGATTGTATTGTCACGGAGGTGTAACTATTCACATTGCATGCATGGAATGTAAAAAACTTTTTTTCGTAATACATCTGTTTACAAATTAGGAAATAAATAACTTAAAAGGTAAGTTAGTTTGGTAAAAAATAAGTTCATGTTAAACCGAAGTAAATAAATACTTAGAATGAGAGATTTATTAGTAAATAATGTTGTTAAATCTTTGGCATCCTATATGTATATGGGAAAATGTATTTGGTAATAATATTTTGAAATAAATTCTTTGAAATAGTAAGACCTTAACAGGTGCTTGTTTTCAATTAGTGATTTGGTATTACTTGTAAATCTTTGATTTAGCATAATGTCATGAAATTACAGATGCTCAGCCCATCTCTGTTAATTATTATTGTGACAAAAAATAAAACCATAATAAGTAATGCTTAGCAAGGTTGGCAAATGGATAGAGGTGTCATCCCTGTCGACCACCATTCAAACTAGAACGCTCCTAGTTTAAAAGTCACAAAACACTCCTGCACATTAAAAATATTAAGAAAATTGCAGAAATGAATGTCAAGGTCTAATATAAACCTTCAAAACTTCCAACTTTGAGCTGTATAACAATACTTTCTTTTTTATTAGCCTTGCAATTGCCTAATACATATATAAATACTGTGTATTTTAATCATGTATGCTATTACATCTTTCTTTTTTAAAAGTTAAAATTTAAATAGCCTGTAGGACATAATATATAAATGTGACAATAAATCTCAGCTTATTTTAGACCTGTTTATATCATCAGGTAAAAATATTTGCCCAATTAAACAATGGCATTAAAATAAGGTTGAAATTTCAATGAAATATTCAATAATTGAATTTTCATTTGAAAAAAAGATTGAAGGATGGTTAAATGTAAAGTCTGGCTATATTTGTCTGGTGTAAAGTAGACTAGAGAAAAGGATAGGCCATGTTAATCTAGATTTTTCATAGATGAGATTTTGACGATTAGGATAGAGATCAGATGACATGTAAATATGACGATAATATCCTTAAATATGTCATATATTATATTGATATTTATGTAATGAAATCCACGTCGTTAAACAGGTTTTAGTTATTAAATCCAAAAGTTACTATATTTTGGTATTCCCCCACAATAAAGTTGTGTCAATAAAAAATAAGATTCAGTAATATTCAGCATTGTTGCACCTGTCCCAAGTCAGGAACCTCTGACCTATATATGTTAGTCTTGCATGTTTTAAAAGTTAAATCTAGTTTGAATCTGTAAACAGTTCACATCTACAACCATTCAAACAAAATCATGTTGTGTCATAATGTTAACAACAACAAAAAACAACCAAATGAAGCAAAAAATAACCCCCCCCCCCCAAAACAACAAAAAACAACAAAAAAATAAAACCATACAGTACTCCTTTACTATTGAAGGAAAATCCACCCCATACTTACAAACAAGATTTCTTTTATCACAACTGTCCAGCCAAAATCCATTTTTGACCTACACATAGAGCACATCTACAACCATGAAAGCTAAATCCAGTTATGACCTACGCATAGAACACATCTACAATCATGAAAGCAAAATTTGTCCCAATATGCAATATTCATTTACTATAGTAAAATCTTGCCATATCCTGAAAAACAGATTTCATCCACTGGTACTACCATTCAAACAAATCCAACTGAGACTTCAAACAGTCCACATCTACAACTGTTTAGGTGAAATTAAATTTGTGCTCATCTGCAGCTATAGAAACATATTCATTATTTGTCTTTTTAACAGTGTTTGCTTTGTTATTTTTTTTGGCCTAACATGTAGTGGAGAGGCAGCATGTACCAATTTGCAAGTCTTTGTATTGTTCTGACAAGAGATTGAACCCACAACTTGACACATTCAAGAAGAAATTGGCAGTTGACCAATAGCTAATGATAATTTATACAAAATTATATTTGAAGCTTGCTGATTTTGTCCATTCGCTGTAATTGGATGCTCATGCCTTTGATTACTGTAAATTCAGAAATTATTGTGAGATTTTTTTAATGCACAATAAGAACTTGCATTCTGATATCTGTTACCTATATCTGTATGAAGCTTTTCCTGAATTCGCAATAATTTATCTCACATTTTTATCTATTCTTCAAAAATCACAATAATAAATGCATGCAATAATTTCTGAATTTAAAGTATCTGTTTTCTTGTTTTTCTTCTTGTGTATTTTTGGTCAGGTATGCTTTAAATTGTTTGCCTCTACAATTACTGACCTCTAGACACTTGAGTGAAGGATAAAATTCTTCTTTAGAATAGAAGATGCACCATTGGCTTTGAAGGTTATACATTTAACAAAAAGTTCAGCTTTGACCTTGAAAGCAAAACTAAATTTCAGATGCAACTTTAGAAATAAATTAACCAGCCATTAACAGGTATTATTTTCACATATTTTAATATTTTATCTTTTTGACTTACAATCAAGTTATTTCCACCTTATTAGGTAAACATAATATTTAGACATGAGAGATGTGGTATTTTACAACGTAAATTATCAGAAAGCCTATCTTATTGTGGTGTAAGGTGATATATATTGTAAGATTGACAGATGATTTTCTAAACCAGTATTTTCTTGTTAACAGTAGAAATTCTTGTGATTTATACTGGTTCAACAACTGAATTCGTAAGTGGTTATTGAAAATCAACCCTCATTGAACTGTACTATTGGTGATAGTCAGGACAATATAGGCTATCGTAAAGGTATGGAACATTTGGAAGGAAAGAACATTTTGTATCTTCATTACTTCATCTTTTTGTATAGTTTTGGAAAAATATTTCATTATATATTCTTTAGTTACTAAGTTGTAAAACTTGTGTCTGATCCTTTTGTCATTTTGAACAATAAAATGTGTTTAAACTATTCTTTAGTTGTAAAATCCTAAGATCCTAAAGAAGAAAAATAAATCCATCTACTTAGACAGGTAAATGATATCAAATATCTTACTAGATACTAGTACTTTAGTGCATACTGGTATATGTATATTAAATAAGAGGACTATTTTTATATTAAAGCATGCTATTGATTAATTACGTGTTATTCATCAAAAGATACGACAGATACCGAAATATATTTTATAGCATTATTCACAGAATGTGAGACATAGCGGCGGCATAAACTATTTGTATTAAGCTTTGTAACTTGTGAGGTGTGCATGTCAGTCTGAAGTGTTTCATCTGACCTTGACCTCTTTTTCATGCTCATTGGTCAATGTTAAGTTTTTGTGTTTTGGTCAGTTTTTCTATTACTATAAGCAATAGGTCAACTATATTTGATGTATGGAATGATTGCAGTGTACATGTCTGTCATGCAGGTATCATCTGTCCTTGACCTCATTTTCATGGTTCATATGTCAATGTTAAGTTTTCCTGGCTAAGTCTGTTTCTCAGATACTATTAGCAATAAGGTCAGCTATATTTGATGTAAGTGTTAAGGGATTGCTTCCTTTCATTAGTAGATACTTAGCCAGCCAGAAACTAAGGAAGTACTTCTTTAGCTCAGTCAGTTAGAGTACTGCTTTGTAATACAGAGATCCCGGGTTTGAATCTCAGAGGAGACAAACTGATTTTGTAAGAAGAATCATGCTCTTCAGTTACATTTGGCACCCAACTAAAAAAACTAAGGTAGTTAGAGAGGATTTCTAGCTAGGGTATGTGTGTGAGAGTCATAATGGTATTATGAATCTTGAGGTGGAGGAAGTGTGACAGCATTGCTTCCCTTCATTAGTAGATAGTTAGCCAGCTGTAAACAGTTGAGCTACGGAAGTACTTCTTTAGCTCAGTTGGTTAGAGCACTGCTTTGTAATACAGAGATCACGGGTTCGAATCTCGGAGGAGACAAACTGATTTTGTAAGAAGAATCATGCTCTTAGGTTACATATGGAAGGATTATAAGGTATACATGTCTGTCTGGCAGGTTTCATCTGACCTTGACCTCTTTTTCAAGGTTCATTGGTAGGTATTAAGTTTTCATGGTTTGGTTGGATTCTTGTATACTATAATCAATAGCTCAACTATATTTGGTGTATGTAATGATTGTAAGGTGTACTTGTATGTCTGGCTTGGTTAATCTGATCTTGAACTTTTTTTCATTTATCATTGATAATGTAAAGTTTATGTGAAAATGGATTGCTTTAATTAAGAAATAGTGTGCTGTTATCAATAAATAGTGTCCTTCTTACAATGAATAAATGATGCATTGATTTAAAATGCATGTTAAAATACAGCACCAACCACATGAATGGCCTTTCATACAGGTGGACACTTCCAAAGTAGCCATCAGTGCTGTCTATAGTAATGATGCTTTGGAAATTTGATTGGATAAGTTGGACTGGGAAGTGTCAATGTGTGAAGCATTATGTATTGTGTATTATCCAAATTTAGATATTTTGATTTCAATATGTTTTAGTTAAACCAATATAATTAGTAAATAAATGGATTTAAGAAGTAATTGATACTTCTGTTGTGCACAAAGACATTTATAGTAGTCATTCATGTTTACAAAATGTTTCAAAAGTAATTTTTAACTTTTTGTAGGTCAAAGGTCTTGTGTAGCATATCGAGTGACATTGACAGTGTTAAAAAGATTTAGGTGGCGTCTTAAATGGTTTATGATTATTCAAGGTCTAAAATATAGGGCTCATTGATAAATTCATTACATTTATAGCTAGAAGACACTTTTTTGATAAAATGCATAAAATGAAATGCAACTTGGAAAGAAATTCTTTGAATTTTGCTCTCAATTAAACAGTTGAGAATACATTTCTTGATTTGTGATTCTTTTTAGTAAGTTGATGATTATGCCCCTTTGAAATAGAAGATGTGATACAAAATTATTATTTGTGTGCACAGCAAATTTTTCTAAATTGATTGCACAATGCATGCCCTAAGACAAAGTTTTGAATGCAAAAATATAAAATATCTGACAAAATGGCATAAACACAACAACCGAAACGTTCAGGTCACTTTGTCTGACGATGTTGTGTTCATTGGTATAGTTGTCAACGTATATTTGTTCCGCCTAACAGAAGTTCCACTGGAAACTTTGTTATAAACAATGGCATAATATCTGTTCCTGTTGGAACAAATATTCTATACCATTTATTCCGTTGGGAACATTTATTGTAATATTTATTCCAGTGGAAATAATATTCCAGAATATTGTTTCCATTTGGAATTTATATTATGAAGGAACTTCTATTCCGTGACATAATAATAACGCATTAAACACATATTGGACAAATGACATCTGTTTTCTGCATGTAAACTACGAATAAAAAATTACATAAAAAATACAATATTAGATATTATATATAAAAAGTTTTTATTCTTGAAATATTTTAAAACTCACAGCAATCTTTTGTTAGTCATGATTTAAATGTATGTTACAAATGTTCATATTAAGATTAAGAGGGCTGCTGACATAAGCATTTTCACTGCAAGATAGCTGTTTGCAATATGGTGGTGTAAACAAACTCTAAATCAATCTCAATCATTAAATATCTGTTTTCATGCATTATATAGTGAAAAAAACTTATGTTAAAACAAATAACTGAAATTTGATAGATTGGTTGTCTTTTGGTAAATATTCAGTGGCAAACATTACATGCATAGTCAGGACCAAAAAGAAGCAACCAATAAATCCAATAGTTTTTGAAAAGTGTTACAGCTCAACAGGAACAGATTTGGAATGTCACTGGATAAGGAGAGTTTGTTGGATAGGGGTAGAAATAATCAACCTTTGGTGATAGTAGAGTCATCTAGACATCTCATATTGACAGAATAATGTTCACATGCTGAGTCAAGATTACATTATATTTTGAGGCAGTTACAATATGATTTTTGTTTTGAAATTTTAATGTATGTGGACACAAGAGCTCTATGACGGTGTAAATATTTACCTTCAGACTTTGACCATACCTTAAGATGTTGACAGCTTTGATATATGTCTGTGGAAATGGGTTATATAAATAATTGATTGTCAGATTTAATATGGCATACTTAAAAACAAAATTTACCTTTTTATATCTGAAAAATTTCATACATGAAAAATAATAAAAAACAGCCAACCGACTACTTTTGAAACTCGGTAGAAATAATTGGAAGAAGTTCGTTATTATTAAATAACTGTCCAGTACAATAGCCTTCATGGAAAATTTCATATTGGAAAAATGATCACAAACAGCAAAACTGCTACTATCGAAACCTATAGAAATAATTGGAAAGAGTTCATATTACTGTCCAGTACAAAAGCCTTATTCAAACATTTCCAATTGCATCTGGCCAAATTTCCAGTCCTTTTGTTATTACCTTTTTGATATTGTCATGATCAACTTTAATTTTGATATAGTGGATGCTAAAAAAAAACTTTTTTTTTTTTACTTTTATTTCATTTTTTTTGGGGTGTGTGTGTGTGTGTTGGAGGATGGTAGTGTTTGTTTCCTTGTTATTTTTTTGGGTGGAAGTGGGTCATTAGCAATAAAAACAGTTAAAGGTGTAATGCTGATTTCGCTTAAAGGTGCTTTACCACAGGCACTTGTCACATGTTATATTAAAGTATATAGGTAATTTTTTTCAGATACAAGTGCCTGTGTGCTTTACCCATTGATTAGTGCATTGCATTTTTGTTTAGTACCAATAAGTCATGGTAATGAAACAAACATTTATTACAACTTCTTGTTTTGTATAACAAATCTGTGTAAGAAATATTCAACCACAAATTTATATCTATGTTCAAGTTTTTTAAACAGTGGCATTTTACAGTAGCTATTCAACTTTGTATAGGATTCCAATGTCAAGTGATAACCTTGTATATACCTGTAATTTATTACCAAACTGATAAAACAGGTGTATTGTTAAGATAATATAAACATACATTCCGAGGGTACAATAGTATTATCCTCAGCTTTGAGAGGAGATTTGTTTACTTTGTATAAGTTAAATGTGTAATTTGTTACAGATTAATTCATGTTGTCAAAATGTGGTGTCATCCTTTGACTAGATATTAATCCAGTCCAGCCCATTTTGTCCAGTGACTGATAATAGATTAACTTTAATCTTTGGACTCTGAATGCTTTACATTTTATTGATTTGACCAAACATGAAAAATTTAACAGCTATTTACTATAGCTATCTAAATTATCCAAGGCAGATACAAACCTGAATTTTTCATGGAAAGTCAAATCATAGATATAAAAGGCTATTTATATCTAGGGTCCAATCAACATTTCCTGTCCAGTGTGCAATCCATTTAAAACAGGTTGAAGTCAACAATTCCCTGTACTTAGAGGATCTTCTTGGTTTGTTGTGGATATTGTGGTCATAGGGTCAATGTTGTCTTTTTATTTGGAGTTGTTCCCCCTGTTATAACTGATGAGCTACAAGCAATATTACTAGACTATTTTACAAGAAACAGATCTGCTTCAAGCTGTTGCATATGATAGGCTATTGCATGCATCATTATGGACATTTAACAAAAAAATACCCACAAAATGAAGAGCCAGAGACAATTCTTACTCCTTATGTATCAGATGAACCCCATTATTTCAAGTCATTTGGATGATTCAAGTTCACCTTAAGTCACATTGAAATGTGAATAGTGTTACTCCTCAAAGGACAGGTAATTTTCTTGCATGATAAATCTGAAATCATAAATAATTATTTCATCTGCTAGAACAAATTTATATGAGATACCGGTAGGATGATTTGGCACAACTTTTTTGAACTTTTGGCTTTCAGTTCTTCTCAACTTTGTGATTAAATATTTGACCTTGGGACTGTTTTGATTTGGGTGCCTCTGATGAGTCTTACGTAGACAAAACACAGGTCTGCCTAATTAAAAATATTCCTAGCTCTGATAAGTTTTTACTTGCTTAAACTTACAAACATAATATTTTACTGCATGTACTAAAAAAAAAAAAAAAAAAAGCCCCAAATTAAACAACGAAAAAAAAAAAAACATTGTTTCAGTAATAATCTCTGATCTTGAATACAAATTTTTAATTTTGTCATTTGATAAGGAACTTTCCGTTTTGAATTTTCCTTGGAGTTCAGTATTATTGTTATTTGACTTTTTCAAGACATTGACTTAATCCAACCTGCTTATTTATATCTCACCATAAGATGATGGTAAATGATGTATGGCAGCATAGTCAACCAGTTGATGGTGGCTGCCTACTGGAAGAAAAAGGAACAGACATTTAATCCAGATTTTAATTTTTGTTACACAACCCCATTATAGCCTGTCTCAAATGAATTGGCCAGTGGATATGATAACATCGGTTACACTATAAAGAACAGATGTACATTAGAGAGTTAATTATATTTAATGTGTCAAAATTTACACTGTTTGTTATCACAATCTTAAAGAACTTGACAACTGTTATTGTACATTACATAAACATTATCTCTGGTCATCACAAACTGACCAGTGGCTATTTATAATTGACAAAATTAATATTCACACTTCTGTGAAGTATTTTGATTGTCCTTCAGTTCATGCTCAAGTTGCTAGTTTTGAAGGCTTCAGTTTTAAAATCACTTTCAATAATGGAATTCTCTTGTTTTATAAAAAAAATTTCTCATTGACAAGTAGAATGTTGATATTTAGCAACTTAAACTGTGAATACCAATTAATTTTTTAGTGTGGCAATATTTTGAACAAAAATCTATGTAAGTAGTTTTTTAAGGACTAGCAGTACCAGTACAAAGAACATTTAGATATCTACAGTAAAAGAAATGTTTTAATCAGTGAAATTATGTTGGAGATTCATAGTAATGTTAACGTGAACACTTTATATACTTTCAGGACCTACATGTTACCCTTATTATCACAGAAAAATAACAGTTATCAAAATGGAGAAAGCAGCAGAAATACAGGTTTGTTTAATTTGGATAAATATTTAGAAAAACTTTAAACTAAATGGGAATGTATGGGATACTAAACACCCATGAGACAGCAACACATGGCAATCAACAATGAACATTTAGTGGTCAACATTTGTTTCTTTATGATGAGTATATCAGAGGTTCTGAAGGTTTTTTGGACCTCAGTGGTCTTTTGGTCTAGTAATTGTTCAAGCATTACTGGTCCAGTCAGTGTTTTTAGCAGTCTTTTACGATATGAGTATTACAAAATTCTTACATCTACACTGGTCATTTGGTCCAGTAATTGATGACATTTTACTGGACCAAACCATTTATTACTGGACATTGCCACATGTCTGACAGACCTTGGGAATGACTGGTATATAAGTGCTAGCATATTATACAGTTGCCTGTAAATTGCCCTTAGCTTTACAAGTTGTGACAATTCAAACTTACAAAGCATTTGACTGGATGCTTTTGAATGTATCGCTTGGTTCTAAGTTTTTAAAAGTTATAGAAAAAACAAGCCATTTCTTTGCGATGTTTTGAAGAGTGAATCAGGAAAAAAGATTGAAAGTACTGTGAACAACACAGACAATTGCAACTTTAGAAAACAGCAATGCTTTTAATTGTGTTTTTGTTGTTGCTTTTTTGTGTGTGACACTCTGATGAGTCAAGCCATTTCTAGCTAATTTTTACAATTTGTTCTTATAATGTGCAGTAACACTACTGTCTCAGGTTAGGGGGAGGGTTGAGACCTCAAAAACATGTTTAACCCCACCACATTCTATATGTGCCTGTCACACATCAGGAGCCTGTAATTCAGTGCTTGTCATCGGTTGCTGTCTGTCATTTGTTTTTTGTTTATTGCTTTGTTATAAATCAGGCCATTGGTTTTTCCGTTAAAATGTTTCACATTTTGTCATATCAGGGCCTTTTATAGCTGACTATACTATATATTATGCTCATTGTTGAAGAATGTACAGTGACCTGTCAATGCTCAAATCCACTTCATTTGGACTCCGTTGGTTAGTTGTCTCATTGGCAATCATACCACATTTTTTGTTTTTTTTTAACAAAATCATAGTGTATTGTTTTGTGTGTATAAATGTCATGTTGCCCATCAAGGGCCCTTAATTGGAATAATAAATATTCTTATTCTTATTCTTACCACATTTTCTTATTTTATATTTAAACAACCAATATGGTCAGCTTATAGTCTGTCTAGTAAAGAGTATCTAACAGGCTGTCTAGTATAGAGTATCTTACAGTCTGTCTAGTATAGAGTATCTTACAGGCTGTCTGGTATAGAGTATCTTTCAAGCTGTCTGGTATAGAGTATCTTACAGTCAGTCTAGTATAGAGCAGTCTGTCTAGTATAGAGCAGTCTGTCTAGTATAGAGTATCTTACAGTCAGTCTAGTATAGAGCAGTCTGTCTAGTATAGAGTATCTTACAGTCTGTCTAGTATAGAGTATCTTACAGGCTGTCTGGTATAGAGTATCTTACAGTCAGTCTAGTATAGAGCAGTCTGTCTAGTATAGAGTATCTTACAGTCAGTCTAGTATAGAGCAGTCTGTCTAGTATAGAGTATCTTACAGTCTGTCTAGTATAGAGTATCTTACAGGCTGTCCAGTATAGAGTATTTTATAGGCTGTCTAGTATAGAGTATCTTACAGGCTGTCTAGTATAGAGTATCTTACAGTCTGTCTAGTGAAAGTATCTTACAGTCTGTCTAGTATAGAGTATCTTACAGGCTGTCTAGTGAAAGTATCTTACAGTCTGTCTAGTATAGAGTATCTTACAGGCTGTCTAGTATAGAATATCTTACAGTCTGTCTAGTATAGAGTATCTTATAGTCTGTCTAGTATAGAATATCTTGCAGGATGTCTAGTATAGAGTATCTTACAGTCTGTCTAGTCTAGAGTATCTTACAGGCTGTCTAGTATAGAGTATCTTACAGTCTGTCTAGTATAGAGTATCTGGTATCTGTCAGTCTGTCTAGCATAGAGTATCTTACAGTCTGTCTAGTGAAAGTATCTTACAGTCTGTCTAGTCTGTCTAGTATAGAGTATTTGTCAGTTTTAGGTGTAGCAATTATCTTGCTACAGTTAAACATGGTGATACTGGTTAATTCAAAGATCTACTGATGAGTAGGTGTGACTAAATCCCATGAAATTTTGCATCTTATTTTAATTTATTGAATCTTATTCAGGCAACCACCTGACAGTCTTCCATTCATCGTGCCTTTGAATTTTCATTATCTTATGAAAACAGGTTTCTATCTACTACAAACACACAAGCATTAGGTGTTGATGAATACCTTGTACACAAAAGTATATATGATTCTTTATTGATGATCAATTTGGAACAACTGTCATTGAGAAATGACTGACAATAATTATTGTCACCATGTACTGTTTAAGGTTAATTGCAATATCCATGAGATTTAATCTCATATTGTAGGTCACAATCAGAGGCAGATTAATGGGGGTGGGTGGGGTGCAGGTCCCCAGTTATGGAGTTACATTTATGGTTAATCAAGACTTTTTACCTATTCCACTCCACTTTGTCTAGTTTGGGGGCCCCCGGGCCCCCTTTTTCAAAATCCTGGGTCTGCATCTGACAATGATCAACATAACTAAATGTTAACCATCTACTTAAACTACATGGCCACAAAACATGTCCCGTGTCTAAATATTGATTATAGTTGTTTTGAAAAAAAACTATTAGAATACTTAATAATCTTGTCATAAACCCATCTGTTAGTTAAAATAATTATGTAAATATAATATGCTTATTAGGAATTATTACATACAAGTCTTTTTGAATGAAATTTTAAATCTTTTTGACATAATCATATAATTTCTGTGTGTATGTTGGTTTGTTGATTGTATTAGACTAATAGCATCAATTATGTATGAGCATTATTGGCTTTTTCTTGAAGAAGAGGAGTATTGACTAAGTTACCTTTAAAGGTATGGGTGATTGATTTTATTCATCATTTCAATTAAGGTAAAATACTTTTTGGTGTATCATTTTTTTATTTTTTTATATTTGAATGCTATCAATTGAGGTAAGCTGGTAAGACTGAACTTTGGAAATACGGAAAAAATGATTTATTTTGACAGAATATGGATAATATTTACTGTATAAGGATTTTTAAAGCACTGCATTGAAATGTATTTGATATTACATATTGTTTTGTTGATTGATATATTTACAATCACAAAAAATGTATCCATAGAGACCATTTTCGTAACTTTCTTCTTAAAATATATATAGGAACAATTATATTTGCTGAACTAATGTACTCCCTTTTAAAGGGATATTTGTACTCTTTTATTTTAAGGATACAGGATATTCAGGGATAAGCAATGTTTTGAATTATAGTCCGGTATTATTTACCGGGTAATCAAATAATTTGATATCACCTTCTCCTACTAATCTCAGAATAAAGCCACCTTGTAGTATGTTATGTAAGGTTTATTATGTTCCATGCTATGAAGTAGTAGGGGCGATATTACTAATTTTTTTACCTGTCCGTCTGTCAATAAATTATAATTATTTCTGAATGTTTACTTCAATACTGTATATTGGATTACAACAGTACTAGGATGCATAGTCATATAATGAGAGAGAGATACTTATTGAATTTAAGGTCAACTTATCAAAAGGTTAAGGTCAAAGATACTATAAATAGACTGAAATTAGTGCAAGTGGTTTCCAGGTGCTGAATCAAATACTTTATAAGGGATTTGCAAGCCAACCTTACTTGGATAAGGAATCACATATAATTAGAGGAAGATCCCTATTTGTTAAGTCAATAGGTCTGGGGTCAAGATCATAGTTACTAGAAAAAGATTTGTGTAACACAATACTACTGTCTGAAATCATAACTGGAAAGACTCATATCTTAAAGTAAACAGAAAAAACCATGCCATCTGACCAATATAAGCTTTTGTCCTTAATGTGAGTGTGTGAAGTTTGTGAGCCTTCTCACTATAGGTTCATTAATTCCAGTTTTGTCTATTTAAGGAATGACTGTAATATTTTTTCTGTCTACGAAGAAATAACATCAAAAATGTGGTGCACACTGAATAACCCGCATAGCGGGTTATTTTAAAGTGTGCACCACATTTTTTATGCTATTTCGAATAGACAGAAAAAATATTACAGTCATTTCTTATAATTTAATTCTAAATAAACAAAACAACGTCAGCCAATCAGAAGACGCGTTACATCCAAAATTAAATTATAGTTAAATAGTTTTTTTTGTCTAATAATGATGCTTATAAAGAAATGTTTATTATTATTTGTACAAATCATTTTAGGGTAAAATATTTCAAGTAGCATTGTCACTTCCTATCTCCCCATATCAATAAATATGAATTTCAACTTATACATGCTCATTTACTGAAAGGGATATCTGACATTTAATCATAATGAGAAAAGACGGCAAAACTTTTACCAAAACAGTACCAAAATAAAAATAAGTCAGATGAATGAATTTTATATAATTTGCCTGTCTTTCCTGAGACTCTTAACAAAATTAATTGAAAACAACAAAAATAGTGATCAATAGTTCCTGATTACCTAAATTTCATTGCTTGATTGGAAATCTTGTTGAAAGTTATAAACCTACTAGGAATATTATTGGACTTTAGAGATATGTAATTTAAATTCTAATGTTCATTGCAATACAAGGGAAATAACTCAGAGGCCAAAAACTTGAATTATTAATCAGAGAAATTAATTACTGTGTTTTTACCTGGCTTATAATGCATGAATAATTAATTAGAAGAAAACCGGTAAACAGATGTTAGTATTTAGCAGAATTTCCGTACTAATGATCATCTTCATAATAGTTTTTTACGTAAATGCTGAAAGTATAAGTACTAGTACTGAGATTTTCAGCAAAATTTGAGGATTTTGTCAAAAATTCAGTGTAGTATATAAGTATAAAGGATTTTGTGTGTGTGTCAAACATCAATCTTAAGGATATTAAGGAAAGTAACATAATATATAGGAAAAGAATTTCTTCGAAATTAAGAATCACAAGAAGATCAAAATCAAAATTACAAGTTAGAGATACAAGATGACACATAATTACAAATGACATTGCAGATTAAATGTTTTCTATCTTCTTTCATTACAGGGAAATTCTGGAGAAATTTTGAACTCAGAAAACAGATATAAAATGGAAAGTACAGATTCAGATCTTTCTGAGTGGGAGTCTAGAACATTTGGAAATATTCATCTGAAGTCACCTCCAATGGTTCATCAATATGACGATTCCTCTAACAGTGATAATCCTCATCTAAGTAAACGGAAATATCCGAACTCTTATGGTTACAGTGTTGATTCAGAATCACCAAAAAAAAGCATGGATTCTTTTCGTTTCGATAAAGAAAACATTCCAACAAACTGGAGTAGTTCTTTGACTTCTAGGGATAGAGACAGTGCTTTAGGTGGTTCTTTAATTTCAGCCTATGGTTCTGTGCTGACGGATAGTTCTAGTTCTTTTGATGCTCAGTCTAATTCAGAGAGTGAGACTGTTTCGAATCTTAGTTCACCAACTCATAGTACTTATGGACGATATAGAAAGATTTATGGAAATCGTAGTGACTCTACGGAAAATGACAAAAATTTTGACTGTGATCAAGAAGAAGTAGTAGTTCTTCATAGATTACCTGGAGAAAATTTAGGGATGATTCTTGGGATTGAGGGTGATAAAACAAAAGAACATATTTCGGCTGTCCGGGTAAAAACTGTAACAATAGGTGGTGCTGCATACAGAGCAACTGGCAGCTCTTCAGGGATTGCTGTCGGTGATGAAGTATTACAAGTTAATGGTTTAGATTTAAAAACTCTGTCACATGATGAATGTGTAACAGTGTTTAAGGAGATGCCACTTAGAGTCATTCTGAAAATAAAGCGGAAATCTAAACATACCAAAGCATCAGAAACAGGAAGTCAATCCAGTGAAGGCAAAGGATCCAAAAATAGTTTTGTAATGCGTTACTCTGCCTCAGAAAGTGAGGATGACAACTATGATGGGTTTGTTCCCTTGCAGTATGAAATAGATAAGGATCCGACAGAAAGTTTGGGATTAAGCATTGTACCTAGTTATGGTTCAACAAGGCAATATTTTCAGGTAAATTTAAAGATATAAAAATTTCTTACTGTGAATTTGTTTATTATCTTGCCTACCAACTTTCGTAAATTAAGAAAAGTTTGAATTTTTGTGGATATTAAAATTCATGATTTTGGCAAAATTTGTTTACAAGTCTATAAAATCATTAATGATTTGAATTTGTGGTTTAACTATACCCATGAAATCTACGAAAATTGGTATCCAACAAATGATAGTGAATGCACAGTATTTACATTTATAAAAGGAAATTTTTTTCAGATATGAAATAATTTATACTGTAAATTATAATGGTTATCATGTTCATGTTAAAAAAAATTTGCATATTTTAATTAGCTTAAATGAGGTTTGAAGAATATCAATATATAAATAACTCTTTGGATTATATCTAATGAGTTTGTTTCCTCTAGATTTATAAAAAATTATCAGGTATTTGTGTATAATGTCTATTTTACTATAAAAGATTTATGTGACGATTATAGATTTATAATGTTTTTACTATATACTTGTGCAATGTATCTTTTCAGTATTTATTGTCAACAGCTTTTTTTGTATGAAATCATGAAGAAATTTCATTTTTTATATATGGAAAGTAAAAAAGTATTGAAAATTAATTTAAGATTATATGTTCCTCAATTTTTAAATATAAATTTGTCAATACAGAATTAAATCCTTGAATTTGCTGCAAATTATAGACTTGGATTGTCTCCCCTAGAGTTTAAATTTAGCGTATAATTAGGCGTGTTAATCAATAGAATAGTAATATGTAGAAAATTGGATTATAATTGTAGTCATTGATATTGACAATTAAATCAGTCCTCAACCATGTACAACCTTGATTGATCTGGCAACTGTGGAACAAAGTTATTAAGTGTGTTAAAAGAGGTCCTCTTCAGGTGGGAGCTGAAATTTTTATACATATTTATTCAAAAAGATGATGACACTTTATTTCTTCAATATTTACTTTTTATAGATTTGAAGAAGGATTTTTGTCTCACAGGTTAGGAATTTAAGTTTGATTTTTTTCCTAATAGATTTGTAAAGGTTTAAACAATATTCTAACTGTTGCACTTTTTGATGCTGTTTTTTTTGAATTGATAACAAATTAATTCATGTCATTTCTCTATCTCTGGTTCAGAATTTCTTACCATTATAATTATAAAAATATTTTAGTGGTATGATAATGTGTTATACTAGTAATGTATTTCTGATCACACATCAGATGGGAGAAATGTACATTTCAAGCTATAACTGGACTTTATATGACTTTTGTCATCTGGTCTTTGAAACATATTAATAACACACAATTTACCTTAAGAACCCATTATTTAGTAGTATGTCCATATATTTACTGTATTTGAAGATAATCAATGGAATGTCGATAGGGGAAGCAGATGGGATTTTAATCTTGTTTAAAATATCTTTTTGTGGATATGTGACATTTGAAGTGGCCAGATAACGATTTCAGACTACATTACAAGATGTTTCAAGTTATTGAATTTCGGTCAATAAACCAAAGATTTATATAAATATTTTAGTATTTAATGTTTTAGAATTTAACTTTAAACAATTTATAGGATATTTAATTTTATTTTATGTGATGGAATGTTAAAATTTAAAGTTTTCTATGAAAAAATGTCAGTATCACATCCATGTGGCTCCAACCTGGTCAAATCTTACCTGTTACCTTGGAGAGGTTTGGCAGGCAACTCGATGATAAAATGTCAGTGTCACCTCCATGTGGTTCCAACCTGGTCAAATCCCACCTGTGACCTTGGAAAGGTTTGGCAGGCAACTCTATGATAAAATGTCAGTATCACCTCCATGTGGCTCCAACCTGGTCAGATCCAACCTGTAAGTATGGGAGGTTTGCCAAGCAACTCTATGATAAAATGTCAGTATCACCTCCATGTGGCTCCAACATGGTAAAATCTGATATATGACCTTTGGGAGGTTTTGCAGGCAACTCAATGATAAAATGTCAGTATCAATTCCATGTGGCTCCAATATGGTAAAATCTGACCTGTGACCTTGGGAAGGTTTGGCAGGCAACTCTATGATAAAATGTCAGTATCACTTCCATTTGGCTCCAACATTCTCAAATCCGACCTGTGACCTTAGGGAGGTTTGGCAAGCAACTCTATGATAAAATGTCTGTATCACCTCCATGTGGCTCCAACATGGTAAAATCTGATATATGACCCTTGGGAGGTTTTGCAGGCAACTCAATGATAAAATGTCAGTATCAATTCCATGTGGCTCCAACCTGGTCAAATCCCACCTGTGACCTTGGAAAGGTTTGGCAGGCAACTTTATGATAAAATGTCAGTATCACCTCCATGTGACTCCAACCTGGTAAGATCCCACCTGTAACCTTGAGAGATTTGCCAAGCAACTCTATGATAAAATGTCAGTATCACCTCCATGTGGCTCCAACAAGGTAAAATCTGATATATGACCTTTGGGAGGTTTTGCAGGCAACTCAATGATAAAATATCAGTATCAATTCCATGTGGCTCCAATATGGTAAAATCTGACCTGTGACCTTGGGGAGGTTTGGCAGGCAACTCTATGATAAAATGTCAGTATCACCTCCATTTGGCTCCAAAATTCTCAAATCCGACCTGTGACCTTGGGGAGGTTTGGCAAGCAACTCTATGAGAAAATGTCAGTATCAACTCCATGTGGCTCTAACACTGTCAAATCTGATCTGTGACCTGGGGAGGTTTGGCAGGCAACTCTATGATAAAATGTCAGTATCACCTCCATTTGGCTCCAACATTCTCAAATCAGACCTGTGACCTTGGGGAGGTTTGGCAAGCAACTCTTTGATAAAATGTCAGTATCACCTCCATGTGGCTCTAACACTGTCAAATCTGATCTGTGACCTTGAGAGGTTTGGCAGGCAACTCTATGATAAAATGTCAGTATCACCTCCATTTGGCTCCAACATTCTAGGTTTGACTAAAATTAGTTTGTCAAAATAAATAGCTACACTTGAAGAAGTTTGAGGTCAAATAACCAAAGTTGAAATGTTTCCTTTGCACAACCTTATCTAATTCTGATGTGGAGCAAAAACATTTTTGACAAATCTGGATTTTTAAAGTCAAGCTCCCTATCATTAAATGTGTATTTGAAAAAAATTGCCAATCTATTGCTCTGATTTTTAAAAAATTTTGCAATATACTAGTATATGCTTATTTGACTGAATTTTGGATAAAATGATAAGTTATTATTTAATTTGTATGTACTTGAAATAAATACTTCTAACATAATGGGTGTACTGTACCTGTTAATTTATTCACAACCTTTTTTGACTTAGATTATTTAAGATCTTGATATATTTTATAGACCCCTGTGAATTGCTGAAGACCATATTTAGCCCTTTAGATGTCTTTTGTTTGGGTTTTTTTGTCTGTTGTCAGGTTGTTGTCTCTTGATGTATACACAAATCTCCATTTATTCATATATATATATATATATACTCATTTGTCATTTCTGATACCACAAAAGTAATTCATTTGAAATAATATGGAGAATCGACTGGAAAGTAAACATAGGTCTTTTTAAAAATTGTAAAGTAGCACTTTTATTTTTGCAAATAAATGGGTAACTAAACAGATTGTCAACTTCTGTTTGAAGTAAAAATGTCACTGCAATGGGTGATTCATTTTTGAACACTTTATTTCACCAATAATCACCATACCTTAACACATCAAAATTTCTGACTTGTCTGAACACAGATCTGTCTGCAAGTCATAATTTCATTAGATTAATTAACACAATTGTATTATACTTGTTAATCCCCTTTGACAGCTTTTGTGATACAGACTATAGACAAATTTTGAATACACTTTTTAAAATAGACCCATTCAAATTACTTTACCTTGTAGAACGGATTAAGAAAGGACTTAAAAAGTTTGAAATAAGTTCTTATATAACTATTTTTTGTAGAGTTGAAAGAATCATTGTAATTTTTGATAGTCAAGAACTTGTACGAAAAAGGAATTTTTACATGTCATTCTTGTTTTGGATATAATTTGTAGAAATATTTCACAGGTGAGATTTTTTATACATGATTGAATCTATAAAATACTATGTAATAAGAACATTTGTATGTAATATGTTCAGGTAGATACCTGTTTAAACAAATAATTATATCACCTTGAACAGGTGAGCATTTGTTGATCATGAATATGGAAATATTGTTTAGGGAGATTTGAAGCAATTTATACTGTTATGAATTTTCTGGACATTGATTTTTAGTTTATATTCTATATTTGGATTGATTTGAATTTGCAGGTTTGTTGTTTTCTCTTCATATTAATTAATGAAAGTTATTATTAATTATTGAACTATTATAGAAAATATGTTGAGGAAAATAACCCAAAACTAAGTATCTTTTATTTTAAACCTTTAGTGGATTCAAGGTGGGATTTTTATTGTTAAAATCTTATCAGTTTGTGAAATAATTTGAACAGTTTCGAATTGACTTTGATTTAAGACATTTCCATAAGGTGTCATAATGAATTTTGTTCACTGAAAAGTTCAAAGTATTAATACATAAAAGTAAGTTAGCTTTTTACTTAATTATTGATGCATATATATTTCCTGTTTAATGATTCACAAAGAATAAACAAAACCATTATCCCACACATTTGAATTTCATTCGTCAAAAATTATGTAAAAAAAAAGACCTCCATTAAAAGTTTATAAAGTTTGTCAGATTCAGCAGAAGAAACAACCGCCCCTCCCTTTGACTAATAGTTGAGAATTCGCCAATTTCAAGCCTGAACGACCTTTTTATTCCACTACAGTCTTGTTGCATTGCTAAATATTTAATCCAGATAAATACAGATTAATATCTTCCCAAAAAAGTGTTTGAGCCTGCCAAGATTTGTAGACATTTATTAGTCATCATAGATAACCATATACAGCTTTATATGCTGTATAGACAATTTATTAACCTTCGCCACAGACAAATACCATTTGTTTAATATGTT